GCTCCCAGGGTCTGCCAGGGTCTTCGCTTTCATGAGTCCTGCCTCCCTGGCTCCTGCCATCAGTGATGGCCAGGCTGTGGGTCCTGGTGACTCCGGGAGCAGCAGTAAAGCTGGTTCTTCTTCTTTTATTTGAGAAACAAAGCAGAACGCAGGAGAGTGACCATAGGTGTAACCTTGAATCCACTCTACTGAAGAAGATGAAGAGAAAATCCAAACCATCGGTGTGTTTTGGTACATGGGCTGTCCTCAGTAATAGTCACTCATTTATTCAGCAAATAACGACCGAGTGCTGCTATACGTGCAGTCACCGGTCCAGATGCTGTGGGTGTCACAGAGGACAAAGTGAAGATCCGTATCCTTGCCATAATTCTGTTCTAGTAGAAGAAGGCAGACAATAAAAGAAATTTAAAAAGACATAATAAGTAAATGACTGAGCATGTTAGAAGAGGACAAATACTTTGGGAAAAAATAGAGCAGAGTAAGGGTGGTTGGGAGTGGTAAATTGACATTTTTTAAAAAGCTGGTCTGCTCAGGCCTCACTGAGGAGGAACATCGAGCAATGAATAGAGAGAGGTGAAGGAGGCAGCTGAGCCGATCTGAGGAAGAGCATCCTAGGCAGAGGGAACAGCAAGGGGAAAGGTCTTTTAGTCGCAGAGATCTTTCCATAATAGCACATAAAACGCCTTCTCAGTTTTACCAGCTGCATAATATTCCACTGCATATGTACTGTGTTTTATTTAACTTGTATTTTAATTTACGATATTTACATAACACAGACATTTAGGTTGTTTCCAGTCTTTTACCGTTTTCAGAAATGCTGAGATGAGTAACCTTGTACATATGCTATTTTCATGTGTGCAAGTCCACTTGTAGGACAGATTTCTAGAAGTGGAATTGCTGAGCGGAAGAGTATATGCATATATAGTTCTGATAGTGCCATCGTGGCCTCCACGAGGGTTTTGTTAACCGACACGCCGACGAGCAGTTTGGGTGGGAACCAGGAGGAAAGTCTGCCTCCCCTTCTATGTACACCCTCCAGATGTGAGATACTGTTAGGTGCCCATTATTTCCTTTACTCCTCATGGCTCCCGGGAGCTGAGTGTTCTCCTTTCTATTTCTCAGACGAGGAAACAGGCACAGAGAGGTTAAGTAACCTGCCAGTGTTTACACAGCCGGGTCGTTGTAGAGCTGGGGTTCTGATGTCATCATGTCTGACCATGGCTTCACAAGGGCAGAAGTCTGAGGAGCCCTGCCCCTCTGCCCCACATAGTGGGCATGTGGACCCGGCAGCTTGGAGTTGAAGCCTCCTGAGACTAAAGGGCTGAGTTACAATGGAAAGCTTGCCTGCCCAGCTCTGCCCACTGCAGTACCTGCATCCTAGAGACCCTGGCAGGCCCGGGGTGGAGTGAGGAGAGGCCAGTCCTTGGGATCTGGAGCCACATTGGTCCCTCTAGCCAGCCTTGGCCCCCCTTCTGTCCCTTCCCATCACCTGCCCCAGGGGTGTGACCTGGGAGGCTGTGATCTAGCTCACTCTGCTCTGGGTGAGGAGCTGTCTGCTGGGCCAGCTCGCTCTAGGGATTGGGTTTCAGCATTTCACTGATGAAAATAAATCAGCCTCTTTATTGCCCTGCATGGCCCTCGGAACCTCTGCAGCCTGGCATGTATTTCCAGACTTCCTGTAAATCACCGTTTCTGCCCTGGCCCCCAGGGGTTCTGTGGTTGCCACAGAAATAGCCTCAGACGAGTTTGGTGCCTGGAGCCACCTAGGCAGGACCAAGCAGGAGAGGAGAAATGCTCCCAGAGTTCAGGGGCTCTGGGATCCAGACAGTGTCTGATTGAGCATCTTCTCTGAGTTGGATCCTTGGGCATCAGAGCTGGCCAGGAGGTCAGGGATCATCCTGCTGTGCTCTCCCATTGCACAGAGGAGTAAACTGAGGCCCATCCAAGATCACTTCTTAGTACTCTGGCCCCTTGGCTCCCCGTCTCCTGCTGTTGCTGCCAGATGACGCTTCCTGTAGGTCTGTTTGTTGTGCAGTGGCCCTTTAGGAGAATGAGAGCAGGGTTGGAGAGTGGATTTCAGCTGCTGCGGGAGGGGTGGAGGTCTGACATGCAGAACTGTCTCACCTTTGAGGGATATGAGAAAGTGGAACTGGTGGCAGGACCAGATTTTCTTGAGGTTGAGGAGGGTCCTTCTACCCCACACATCTGTCTAGATGGGGTGTGACCATGGTGCATGGATGTTCGAGAACAAGACACTTCCAGAGGCTCTGACAAGGTGCTGGCAGGTTCTGTGTGTGAGGGGGCTCAGAAGTCTGGCCCCAAACTCTCGTTTCTCCTCCCCTCCCTTGCTCTGCTGAAGCAATATTTGTGCCCACAAGACTCCACAGCAGGGACAGGGGACACGGCAGACCTGCTGCACTGCCCTCGACCCTGGGAGGTTGGTCCAGGCTGCAGGTGGGGGCTTTGTTTGTTCTGGGAAGTGGCTGCAGAGCCGTCGGCCGCCTTTCTCAGGACCCAGGTCTTGACAGCGTCGCAGCGAGTCAATGCCCTGATGCTGTTGGAGACATTCGCCTTCTGTTGCCTTGATTGCTTTAAAAAAAACAAAAAAACTGTTAGCAGCAAAGTGTTCTTTGATGTTTGTTCTTCTCCTTCTCCAGGGGCAGTGAGATCAGATTTTGGTATGAAAGCTCAAAGCTTCTCAGATCTTCCCTCCCTCCTTCCGGCCCCCGCCCCCCATGTCTGTATACTGCTCGAGAACCTTCGAGAACCAGGCAGGCAGTTTTCATGGGACACAGGATAGAAGGAAGCCTGGGTGGTGCCCTGGCTCCTGGCTCCTGTCCAGGCTTGTACCCCATGCTGTGTAGCTCCGGTGGGTCAGGAGAGTCGCAGCTTGTCCCTGTGCAGCGGCCACTTCCTACTTGGCCCGCACCGCTGACATGTGTCAGCTTGCAGGTGCTTGCCCAGGAGACCCCCGGAGATGCTCATCGCACAGATGGACCCATCTGGGGAAGGAACAGAGGCCCACTTGGATCTGCTACCACACTGACGCACACACCCACTCATGCATGGAACCACACAGACCTCCACCTCACAGCAGAGAGGGGAGCTGTAATTATAAAGCTACATGGCCAGTTTGGTATTAAAGCGGCTGTTTTGGGTTAAGAATGGGGATTGAGCCCTGGCCAGTGTGACTCAGTGGTTGGAGCATCGGCCTGTGGACCAAAGGGTCACCGGTTTGATTCCTGGTCCAGGGCATGTTCCTGGGTTGTGGGTTTGATCCTCAGCCCTGGTTGGGGTGCGTGTGGGGGGCAGCCAATCGATATGTCTCTCTCATATCGATGCGTTCTCTCTCTCTCTCTTTCTCTCTCTCCCTCTACCCTCCCTCCCTCCCTCCCTCCCTCCCTCCCTTCTGCTCTCTCTAAAAAAGTCAATGGAAAGAATATCCTGGGGTGAGGATTAACAACAAAAAAGAATGGGGATCAACCCTAAGTGCAGAGATGGGTTCATGGTGTGAACCCAGCTGAAACAGTTCCCTACGAGTTCCCAGAAACACTTTGAGCCCTGGGAATATCATTAGGGTCAATGCATGCAATTCCCAGGGGACCCTTTGATGGGGACAGTACTCACTTGGGTGGTGGGTTCTGCACCAGTTGTTCTAAACCAACGTTTATCGTCACTGTCCACTTCCTTCTTCCTGACGGATCCTGCAGACTCCTACCCTTTGCCCACCCACCTCCTCTTTGGTTCGTCCTTGCTCCCTGAGAAGCAGAAAGCACCCGAGTGTCAGAGTCAGGCTGCAGCCTCAGCTGTGGAAGCAAAAGAGAGAAGACTGGTTAATGTGCAGACACAGTGAACGTGTCTGCCCCATTCTGGTGCGTTCTCTCCTGCTTCCTGGCTCTCCAAGCCATCTTGGGCCCCCTTGTCCATTCTCCCCCCATCTTTCCCACATGAGGACTGCTACAGCTGGTCTCCTTGCCCCAGGAGGCAATAAGAGCAGGGAGAGGCAGGAGGGAGGTGAGCAGATATACCCCCAACCCTTGTTCGACACCGACATCTGCCCAGGAGTTCACAGTTCTCTTCCAGAGTAACCCTTTGGCACTCCGGCTCCTGCCCTACCCTTACAAAACACGCCTCCAAGCCCAGCCTTGTCCATTGCTTCCAGGGGCCTGTTCAGAGACCCTGGAAGGCTGGAGCCATGTCAGTGGTGCCCAGCGCCTGCCCTGCCCCTACAGCCCCAAGCTTCCGGTTCCCCTCCTTCCCCTCCACTGGGCTGCAGGCTGAGAGGCTGATCCTGCAGAGATCTGTGGGTGTTTACATCAGGGCACTCACTGAGCTCCTTCCTCTCCCAAGTGACACCTGGACACTTGGGGCACCCGAGCCTTTCTCCTCCTTGTGGTTCTGCTTAGAATGATTGGATGATTGGAACAGTTTGTCCAAATTGTGTTCTTACAACAGTCCTGCCCTGGGAGCATTGGCATCCTCCTGCTCCCTCAGAGAGTGGTGCTGGCTGTGCGGAGGGAGCTGGGATGAGGTGTCTGCCCAGGAGAGGGAGAAGTAGGTGGCCCCTTCCTGGCAGCCTCTCCGTCCGGAGCCTGCAGTGCCAGACCTGGCTTTGAAAACCTGGGCTCCAGCATGGGGTGGCCACAGAAGCACGTTGGGGCTGCAGACTCACTGGGACCCTGGCAAGGAGACACAGGTGCTAAAGCCCCCTGACCTGCTGCAGGCTGTCTCTCCTACCGGCTCTGGGAGTTGGGTTGGGACATTCAATTGATGTGCAAATAAGTCACCAAAAACATGCAGATAAGAGTTGGCATTCGATGTCTTGCTGTCAGTTAGGGACTTCTGGCACTCCTCAGGGCACGCTGGGATGATGGGGAGCATGTTGGGCAGATCGTGTGGATTTTGGCTGAGTGGACTGCTTCAGACCTGGGTTGTCGGGGGTGAGGTGGACATCGCTGACACTCTGAAAAGTAATTCTCTTTGCCATTCATGCTTTTCAGATGGGCGCAAACTGAATACCAATAGCCAGTCAATTGGAGGCATCTCAGGTGGCCTGGTGGATCAATATCCCGGGCCAGGAGCCCACTGGCCTGCCCAGAGTCCAGCCTCAAACGCTGTCTGGTTGCAGAACCAGAATCCGAAGCTTTGCACTGAGAATCTCACTTTGTGCTCCTGTCCCCTCCCCGAGGCCTGCCCAGGTGACACTCTAGCCCCTCTCTTTAGGCCCCGTGGTCCCCTTTGGGAAGGACAGGGCCTTTGTGTTTTGTGTTTCCTCTTTTATAAGCCAAGGAAGTGTCCTGGTTCCTAGACTCTGCCCCGTGGAGGGGAAGGAGGGGGAGAGAGGGAAAAAAAGATTTCCACCTTATTGTTCAGCAGCTGGAAAATTGTTGTCATCTGTTCTGCCTTTCATTTGCTGAGAGTGGAAAAAAATGTGGAAAAATTTGGGGAAATAAATCTCAGTACCCTCCTAGGAACTCTCGCCCTTCCCTCTGTCCCTTGCACCCCACTGCTCTGCTCCCAGGGTTCTCCTCCCACTTCTCCGGGTCCTGGGGCTGCAATGGGCCGGGGCTGGGGCTGAGCTGGGGCTGGGCTGGGGTTGTCCCGGGACCAGGACTGGTTTGAGGCTGTGCAGGGCTGGGGCTGTCGCTGAGCTAGGACTGAGCTGGGGCTGGAACTGGGTTGAGCTGGGGCTGCAGCTGGGCTGGGGCTGGGCTGGAACTGGGTTGAGCAGGGGCTGCAACTGGGCTGGGGCTGGGCTGGAACTGGGTTGAGCTGGGGCTGCAACTGGGCTGGGCTGGGCTGGAACCTCGCACTCCATGTGGAGGGTTTGGGAAGCCACTGTGATGTCATTCAAGAGCTGCATAGCTACAGGATGATAAGTGAAGCCCTGGGGACCCAGCTGGCTGAAATTACAGACAGAGTTTTATCCCACTGGCTTCCTACAAGCCAGAGTGAAGCAGAGCCAGGAGAGAGAGGGAGAGAGAGCTGCGAGGGAGGGAGTGCGGTGTGTACACAGGCAGGCAGGCTCCTCCCACCCTGACAGTCCCAGGGAGCCTGAGTAGGACACAGACAGAGCTGGGAGCTGCAGCCATGTAGGAATTATTTGAAACTTGAGGCACAAGGAGCAGAGATCAAATCAGAGCGGTTCTCTCCCCTCCCCTTTCTCCCTCTCCATCCAGAGGGTAAGTGTCTGCTGGGCGGCTGTTTTGCCTGTGTGTGTCCTTGCGTGGCTCTCTGCTGGATCCGGGGAGAGGCTGGTGGGGGTGCGGTGTCCTCGGTCCTGGGTTTGCCAGGGAGCGGGAAGGGTGTGAGGCTGTGCCGGGCTGTGGCCCTCTGCACTGCCTTCGGAGGTGGGTGTAGTGGACCCGGCCACCCCCTTTCAATGTTTGCTGCCCTTGGACATGTGAGAACTGCCAACTCAGGTCCGAGGGGTGGCTGAGCTGGTGGGGGCAGTGTGTCTGAGTTGGCCTCGTTCTTTTGGGGTAATGGTTTGTGGTGGATGAGAATGGGGTGGGCAGAGGGAACCTGGCGGAGGCATGGATACCCCTGGAACACTCCCAGCGGGATGTTTATTCAGGACAACTCCCCCTCCTGCAGTCTGAGCTCTGTGGCACCCCCATGCTGACCATTCCTCGGCTGGCCTCCTGCGGGCTCCCATTCATGGCTTTTTCCCTCAGTTGGCACAGCTTTTGGTGACTCGGCTGTCCCCTGGCCTGGGATTTCTGAGTGTCCAGGCGGGCGCCCTGGCCTGGCAGAGAAGGACTTTGGTTGTTGTGGGCTCAGAGCTATTTTTACAATCCTGAGTGAGTCTGTGATATCTGGTGCCCGGATCGGCTGAGGCGGGGAGTGGGGGTGTCAGGCTCTGGTTATAGTGCCCAGTGTGGGCGCTGAGGGCCAGAAGGCTGGCCCTGCAAGGTCGTGGGCTGTCGTGTGACCTGGGCAGGTCACTCACCCTCCAGGCTCTATTCCCTCGGGTCTGAAATAAAGGTCACGATCAGGTTTTCTGTTCCTACTCCCTTTCTCTGGAGAAATTCCAGTAAGATGGTATCTGTGTAAAGTACTGTGGGTCTGTCCTGAGGAGGGCCTGGGGCCACATCCGTCATCATCACTTGACTGAAACCCCGTATATTATATTGTGAGGACCTTGGTCTGCAGCCGTAGTTGGAGAGTCCGCCGCCTGCCACCCCCCACCCTGGCTCCTCCAGCTCCCTTCACCTTGAAAGCCATCGGGGGGAAGCCTGAACTTGTAGGCAGGGAGATGCGTCCTTTTGCCCTTTGTGCTGCATGACTTTGGGGCCCCCTGAACTTCACTGCCCTCCTGTACCGTGAGGGGCCCTAAAAATCCCACAGCTTTGGAGCAGCTCCCCCTGCACAGCTGACTTCCTGGTGCCGCTCAGACCTTAGTTCTGGTGCCCGAGGGCCCGGAGGTGCCAGTGGGAGGGGTTCTCGGTTCCACTTTGATTTCAGTGCTGACTTTCTCCACGCTCAAGGCCCGCAGGCTGCCTTTCAGACTGGGCTCCGCTTGGACACTGGGCCTCATGCCTCCTTTCGTGGCCGAACGGCGGAGGTGGCCAGGAGTGGGGCGTTTGCCACCCACCCTCCCTGGGCCCACAGAGGCAGGTTTGTGGGTGACATTGGCAAGGTCGCTTGTGCAGGGGACAGGACCACCTGTGGAACATTGACAGCAGCCCTGAGAAGATTCTCGTTCTCCTCGGTCCCCTCTCTGAAAACATTATCGGCTCCTCCGAGTGGTGGTAAACAGCAAGAGAGACAGGTGTCTGTTTGCCAAGCCCGGACCCATCTGTGTTCGCCCACAGGGCCCGAGGCCCGTGCTTGTCAGTGTGGCATCACTTGGCACCTCCCAATGTGAACCAAGTTCTTTGGGCTGCACCTGTGCTCTGAGCTCTTGGCTTGGCAGAGGCTGTGACTCCTCTGCGTGCTTCCCCTTCTGATACTTCTCTTCAACCCCTGATTCTGCTGGTCTTCAGAAGCCCTGAGGAAGCCCTTTCCCATTTCGGGAAGTTCCAGAACTCTCTGCTGGGACGAACAAAGGGGGCCACCTTAGTCCCCAGCTGGCTATGGGGTAGGGTGGTCGGCACTGGTGGAGGCCAGGACTGGGCCACAGGGGGTCCCCGTTGCCATTGCAGGATGTCTCAGGAGGACCCCAGGTCAACTTGAGCCACGGGGCTCAGGTTCCCCACTGCCCTCTCCATCTTCACCCCCTCCTCACATTGACCTCCCCTGGCCAGTGACAACTCAGGGGGTTGTTCTGAGCTGGACCCCTTCTTGCGCTCCCCCCAGGAAGGTTTTCCTTTCTGTGTGTTCTCCCATGTCTCCCAGATGGAGCCTGGCATTCTTCACAGAACTCCTGGGTGACAGGGGGGGATTTCCGGAAGCAGCACCATATCTTCTAAGTGTGTACATCTTAATTTAAGGGTCATAGATGGACTTAGACGTGTCCATCTACCCCTGAAATTATGTGTAGGAATTGGGTTCCTGCATTTTGGTTTTTTGTTTTTTGTTTTTTTTTTAGAAAATTAGTCTAGGCTTTCATTAGCTATCCCAAGGGACCCTTGACGTAAGAGAGTTAATGTCTTGTGGAGTGGCCCATGTCTGGGGAATTCTGTGGGGGATGCCATGGGGTTAAGTTGCAGCTTAGCCAGTCTATGGGGACCTCCACTGTGCCCATCCTGTTCTACTAGCAACTCTGTAGAACACCCTTCTCTCATGATATTTTGGCTGCAGTGCCTCTCTCTTCTCTTCCTTTTGGGAGAAGCCTGTGGTCCACCTTGAACCCCTGATTTTTCACTTCTTTGGTGGCAGTGGAAGAAGAGTGTCTCAGTGGCTGACAGGACTATATAAATGTTTCTGGGCTGTGCAATGTAATGCCAGAAGCATTTATGGAACACCTACTATGTGCTAGGCACTGCGCTCTGCAGGGCCGCCCTGGGTAGCCATGTTGCTTATGCACTGAACTCCATGAGGCACTGTTCACCTAGATTACATTATGCATGTTACCGCCTGGGAAGCAGGCACTGGGGAGAAAGAGAAGCAGAGGCCTTTCCTCAAGGAGCACTCCGCTTAGTGGGGAAGACAAACATAGATATTGACAATGACCGTCCAGTATGTGGTCGGTGCTCCAGAGACATCTACAAAGGGCAGTGGGAGCATGAAAGAGGTTTATCTGAGTCTGGAGGACTGTAGGGAAGAGGTGAGGCCAAGAAGGGCTTCTCAGAGTTCAAACCGAGCCTGAAGGAGGAGGAAGAGGTTTGCCAGGGCACCTGGGAGTTGCCAGGCAGGGTAAGAGAGGGCCTCATGTGAGATGCAGAGTAGGAGAGAGCATGTATGTAGGAAGAGTAGAGTGTGGGTGGGTGTTTAGGGTGCTGAGGATAGTGAAAGTTAGGCTTCAAGAGGTAGGCAAGGGTCAGATAATAAAAGGTCTGGTGTGTTCAGCCGGGGGTATGTAGGGCTTTACTCTGTGTGTGATGAGAGCTGTTAAAATGGAGAGAGGAGGATGTTCCAGGCCTAGCTCAAGGAACTCAGCTCCTGCATCCTATCACTCAGCAAACCTGCAGGTATGCATTTGCGTCTCTGTGTGGCCCGGCTCTGCATGGTTAAGTGGTTGATGCAAGCTGACTTGGCCATTTAGATGGAGACCATCCTTCCAAACGATAGGTGCACCTGGCTTTGGGTCGGGTGGGAGGGGGTGCCTCCCTTCTGTCTTCTCTCCAGAAGCAGCACATCTCTGTGGTCTCCCTGGTAGACCCATCCTCTGGCTCCCATGTTGCCTCTCAACAGCTCCAGCCCTCACCCCAGGCTGGCACCCTCCATGGGTGCGGGACAGTCTGTGGCTAAAGGGTTAACATGTCCAGAACTTGCTCTCCTGGCTGCCTCTTGGCCAAGCCTCAGCCCCTGTCAGAGTTCACCTACCTCCCAGACACACACGACCTCTGCTGCCCCATTCCCACGTGTAAGGAGCTAGATCCCCTCCCAGTCTGCCCGGGCCCCTGTCTGCCTCCAGACTGCCCATGTCCGGGTAGGTTGGTGCCTCTGCCTCCTGGCTGCATTGATTTTCCTCCACCACGGTTGGTCCTCACTGCTCCGGGTAATGTATTTTAATGAATTGTTATTCTGCTGGATGTGGACTCAAAGGACTTTTTATCACGAAGGGTCCCATCCTGAAAACCTTAATAAATCAGTCACAGTTCCAAACAGGCCTGTTGTTGGCCTGGGAGGGGCCTCTCCTCACTGAGTCAATGCCAGCAAGACTGCTTTCTTGCAGTCAGCCGGGCTGGCACCTTTTATTCTTCATGGTTGGGCCCTGGGTTCTACATCTAAATAGACGAAACCTCCCCATCTGACCTTAGTAAGAGAAGCAGGGTCCTTAACGTTAGAGCTGAAATGCTGGCCACGGGGTCAGGGCTGCTGCAGCTGTTGCCCACCCCAGCATGGGCCAGAACCCCAGCGCGCTGGTCAACATGCTGATTCCTGGCCCCACCCCAGACCTGTGAGTGAACACCTCTGGAGGCAAGGCCCCAGAATCCACCTTTCTAAACAACCTCCAGAGGAGATTCTTATGAACAGCGGAATGAGACAACACCTGCCCTAAATCCAGAGCGTCTTAGCATCCCGTGCTTATTTCTTTCGTTCGTTTTGAAGTGTACGGGCCGGACGCAGCTTTCCTGCCTTCTGGCCTGTACTGTGCTTCTGGTCCCACGGGCACCTCCGCACTTTCCTGGAGGGAGCCTGGGGACCAGGGCCACATCCAAGTCAGCTGGGGATTTTCCTCAGAGCTTTCCAAAAGCATGACTCGCACATCTGGATGATGGCCGCCGTGGGAGGGGCTCCTTGGTGCAATCGAACTCAGCGTTGCGGGTGGAGTCCCGGGCTCGCAGCAGCTGCTGGAAGGACCAGGAGCATATTCAGAGCAAACAAGGCTGGCCTCGAAAGGACTGTGGACTTCTCCACTTCCCCAGACAAGCCGGCAGGGAGACGGCCTGTGAAACCAGCTGCCCAGGCTGGCCCACGGCTTGGGGCCTGGGAGCTCGCCACCTGGCCCGTGTGTAACTTGTGTTTGCCCTGCAGTTTATTCTCCTATCCTGTCGTCATCTGTGCCAGTACCCACGGCCCCAACCAGGCAGGTTCCTCCCTCTACTCCCTTCCCCCTTCTGCTGGGTGTCCAACTCCCTCTCATCTGAGACAGTTGTTACCCGAACGGGCCATCCCCTGGAGGCTGCTGGGACTTTGAGAGGGATCTGGTGGCCCTCAGCGTTAGAGCCCTCACCCCACAGAGCCCCTGCTCTTCCTTCCCCTTCTTTCTCACTCCTCCTCCTCGCTCTGCCCGCCCCTCTCTTTTGCCCTTCCTGCCTTGATAGATTGAAACCGACCTTGTGTTCCGGCTTCTTGTGGTCCTGGTAAATAGCTCTTAATGTGGTCGTGGTGGATGGAGAGAAGACGTGGGGGGCAGGGGGCAGTTACCTTCATCTCTGATGGGAGGAGCCAGGGGTAGGTGCCCCACAGGTCCTGACAGGATGCTGGGACTACGCAGCAGAGCCCTCACAGGGGCTGGGCAGCCCTGGCACTGGCCTGTCCTCAGTTTCTCCCCCTGATATGCAGAGGAAGACGACCGGTGAAGGCTACAGAACAGCCTGGAGCATTCGGCCAGAACCGGGCGATCAGGCACGACTAGACCCTGCTCTGAGGACAGAAACAGCCCTTCTCACTTGTATTAAGCAAACAGGATTTAATTACACAATTTACACTTCTATTTTCTTACTAAGCCTTAGTGGCCTGGCATTATCATCCCTGATGTTGTTGTTGCAAACAGTAGCCCACGTCGGGGTAAATTACACGTCAGAATTAGTTTAATATTGACATTTTCAAAATCGATGAAGAGTGGGGCCTGGCCAGGAAGGCCAGGATATCAGGTAATAAGAATCAGTGTGAATTCTCCCTCCCGGCCTCGGGGATGCTTTCTCAGCTCTCCTGCCAAAAGTGCTTCTTTTATGCACCCAAATGAAGTGCTGGGTTGGGTCTGCTTTCTCCCGGTGGAGAGAGTACTCTCAGATTTGCACCCAATGCTTCTCATTGACTCTGGTCTTAATTTTTTTTTTATCCTCACTCGAGGACATTTTTTCTGCATCTATCTTCAGACAGAGCGGGAGGGAGAGAGAGAGGAAGAGAGAGAGAGAAACATTGATGTGAGAGAGACACATCGAGTGGCTGCCACCTGCACCACCCCAACCGGGGCCGGGGACGAACTGCAACCGAGGTACATGCCCTTAGCGGGAACCGAACGCAGGACTCTCAGGTCCGCAGGCCGACACTCTAACCGTGGAGCCCAACCGGCCAGGGCGCTTCTCACTGACTCTGTATAAGTGTAAATGGGGCGGCATGGGACACCTTACCCTTTGCTTCGTTGCTTTCCCCACTTCCCAGACCAGGTGAGCATGGACTTGGGGTGCAGGGCATGGTGTGGATCCTGGCCTGGGAGGAACACTCTGGCATCTCAGGGTGTGGGCTGCCGAGCGGGGCCCGGGCCTGGGCCTGGGCTGCTTCCCAGGGCCAGCAGTGCTCCAGGTACAGCGAGGAGAGAACCCTTTAGACGTCCGCTAACTAGTCTGAGGGGCCCATCCTCACGGGAACCACCCCCAGACATCTGAGTGGATGCAAGGCTCTTGCTGTTAGACTTAGCTCCTCTCTAAACAGTCAGCTGGTGTCTCTTTTTTTTGTGTGTAGCAAGGCACCCAGTTCTTTGGAGAGACATGCTGAGGGGCAGGCTCCCTCATCTGAGTGTTGGACCCTGTAGGGATGCTGATGGATGAGTTGGGAGAGGCAGCCATGCCGGCAGCAACCTCTTAGCAGTCTTCAAGTGGCCCTAACACAAGGCACAGGCTGCTGGAGGTTGAGACCTATCTCAGCCCAGACCCCTCTCGCATTCAGACCAGGCCTGTCCCTGTGATCCCTGGGCTGCGGCAACACTCTGGCCAGTGTCACTCGGGTTCTGCTGCTGGCTGAGGTCCCAAAGCCCCAGGGAAAACTGGGGGCGGAGAGATCGTTCTGAAGAGTAAAGTGATTGGGCACCCAGCCCTGGGGGTGTATGTGTGGACGATGTGCCCTGCCGGGCATCTCTGTGCTCACGCTCGGTGACATCATTTGGTTGGCCTGTGGTTTGTGTGTGTGTGCGCGCCGATCAGGATGTTCCTGTTTTGTGGTTGTCTGATCACTTGTTTTTGGCCGTGGGTTTCTATGTGAGTGTTTATTAGAGGCTGCTTCTGGCCCGAGGACTGATCCTTGGGCATGGTAGGAACTTGTGTTTTCTGAACTGTTTGCGGCTTTACATTTAAGTATTTATTTTGGGGTATTGCTGCCTTTCATGTGTTCATTCTGTTGTGTGTGTATGCATGTCAGAGAGAACCAGTATAGAATAATAAAAATTGTGTTCTCTGGATGGGGTGGGCGGGGAGGGGGTGGAGTGGAGGGGAAAAAAAATTATGTGCTCTTTGAAGTTATGATTTAGTAGTTTTGATTTTAAATTAGTTTTGATATTAATTCGGTTTTATTTTAATTGTCTTAAATTAGTTCTGATTTTAAACCCTAGCTTTACCAGGTACTATATGTCTACAAATAAATGGTTTGACCTCTCAGAATCTCAATTTCTTCATCTTTTTTATTTTATTTTTAAATCCTCATTCGAAGATATTTTTCCATTAATTTTCAGATAGAGGGGGACGGAGGAGGAGAGAGACCTCAGTTGGTTGCCTCCCACACGATCCCAACAAGGGCCAGGGACCAAACCACCACTGAGGTATGTGCCCTTGACCAGAATTGAACCCGTGACTCTTTGGCCCACAGGCTGATGCTCTAACCACTGAGCATCACTGGCCAGGCAATTTCTCCATCTTTAAAACAAGCACAACACTCCCTGATACTCAGGGTTAGAAATAATGTATGTGTAAAGTATGTAGCAAAGTGGTGCATATAGGTTTTGGCTGCATGTTACCTAGTATTTTTATTTGTATTTGCATATATGTGTCCACAGTGTGCTTTCTGACTGGGGGCACCTATCTGGTGTACCCCAAGTGGGCACCAGGGCATTTGATGTGGGTGATTACTGGTTGGAATGTGGGTCTCTGGGTAGCTTTGCATCAGGTTTTCTGTGTGTGAGCGTGTGCGTGTGAGAGTGTGAGATTATTGGTGTCTGGGCTGAGGTTTGTACAGTATTTGGGGGAGGGGCTTTCTTTTCTTGCCAACTGGGGGCCTGCCTTGATGTGAGGGAAGGTGCTGGTGGGTGCTTGTGCGTGTGTGTGTGTGTGTGTGTGTGTGTGTCTTGGGCTGGGAGTTGGGCTGCTGATTGTACAGGGTGTGAAATCACTGAGTTCCTCTGGGCGGGGTAAGTTCTTCGTTCCTGAGTCAGCCGTCTGGCCTTGAGCCATCCAGTGCTCACTTTTTCCTTTCAGAGAAAGTATTGCTCACGGGGCCCCCAGAGCTGTCTGTAGACAAAATGACCAGGGGACACCTCTCCCTGATGAAAAACTCTGCTTTTGTTCTCGATCCCTAAGATGCTTCCCTGCCTCCCCCAGTCCCTTTCCAGAACCTTCATGGGCCCCAGCATTCAGCGCCAAAGTGTGTCCCATTTGACACGGGGCCTGCTGGCTTTGGTCCAGAACTTCCAGGTCCTTGGGAAGCTAGCAGGATGCCAGAGGCAGGTTTTGGACTGGGCATCTCGACCTCCGGAACCCCCTGCCCAATCTTCGGCTCTGCTGCCTGGCCCTGCAGCCGGGTTTTGGGATGGGTTAGGGGTCCTTTGGTCCTTTCTCCTGTCTGTCACCTTAGCTCTATCTCAGGGTGCTGAGAGGAGGTTTTAGGGTCCTGGGAATGGAAGCCCTTACTCCTTTTCTCAGGAGAATAGAAGATGTCCCCACTTCCCACTGACATCTGCTCCTTGTCTTGCAGAGGTTGTGGGACACACTCAGGGGCCACTGGATGGGAGCCTGTATGCCAAGGTGAAGAAGAAGGACTCCCTGAATGGCAGCACTGGGGCCGTCATTGCCACGCGTCCTGCCCTGTCGGCCACTCCCAACCACGTGGAACACACCCTGTCCGTGAGCAGTGACTCGGGCAACTCCACAGCCTCCACCAAGACAGACAAGACCGATGAGCCTGCCCCTGGCCCCTCTAGCGCCCCTGTTGCCCTGAGTCCCGAGGAGAAGCGCGAGCTGGAGCGCCTGCTCAGTGGCTTTGGCTTAGAGCGCGAGAAGCCAGGCACCATGTACCACACCCAGCATCTCCGGTCCCGCCCCGTGGGGGGCCCTGCTGCGCCCGCCTCCAGCCGCCACATTGTTCCAGCCCAGGTTCACGTCAATGGCGGGGCCTTGGCATCTGAGCGGGAGACGGACATTCTGGATGATGAGCTGCCCAACCAGGACGGGCACAGCGTGGGCAGCATGGGCACACTGTCCTCCCTGGATGGCATCACCAACACCAGTGAGGGGGGCTACCCAGAGGCCCTGTCCCCATTGACCAATGGCTTGGACAAGCCCTACCCCATAGAACCTATGGTCAATGGCGGGGGCTACCCCTATGAGTCTGCCAGCCGGGCAGTGCCTGCCCACGCTGGCCACTCCGCTCCCATGCGGCCCTCCTACTCCGCACAGGAGAGTTTAGCTGGCTACCAGCGCGAGGGTCCCCACCCAGCCTGGCCACAGCAAGTGACCACCTCCCACTATGGCCATGACCCCAGCAGTATGTTCCGCTCTCAGTCCTTCCCGGAAACTGAGCCCCAGCTGCCCCCAGCTCCAGCCCGAGGGGGAAGCAGTCGAGAGGCTGTGCAGAGGGGCCTCAATTCCTGGCAGCAGCAGCAGCAGCAACAACAGCAGCCTCGCCCGCCTCCTCGCCAACAGGAAAGAGCCCACTTGGAGAGTGTTGGGCCCAGCAGGCCTGGCCCCCAGCCACTGTCAGAGACCCCCATGCCTTCCCTCCCTGAGTTCCCCAGGGCAGCCTCCCAGCAGGAGATCGAGCAGTCCATTGAAGCCCTCAACATGCTGATGCTAGATCTGGAGCCAGCTGCGGCCGCTGCCCCCCTGCACAAGTCCCAGAGTGTCCCTGGGGCCTGGCCAGGGGCCTCCCCGCTCTCCTCCCAGCCTCCTCCTGGCTCCTTCTACCAGTCCCATCCACTGACCCAGTCCAGATCTGGCTACATCCCCAGTGGGCATTCCTTGGGAACCCCTGAGCTGGCCCCACGGGCCTCCCTGGAGTCCGTCCCTCCTGGCAGGTCTTACTCACCTTATGATTATCAGCCATGTCCGGCTGGACCCAGCCAGAGTTACCGTCCAAAGAGCCCAGCTTCCTCCTCTTCCTTGCCCACCTTCCTTCCAACCACCCACAGCCCTCCAGGGCCTCAGCAGCCCCCTGCCTCTCTCCCTGGCCTCACCACTCAGCCTCAGCTCCCACCAAAAGAGGCGACTTCAGATACATCCCGAACTCCAGAGGAGGAGCCCTTGAACCTGGAGGGACTGGTGGCCCACCGGGTAGCAGGTAAGAGCCTCGGGGACCATCAGGGCTGGGTATCTTCCCTCTTACTCCCTCCACATCTTCCCTCTTTGGCCTTGCTCGGGGGAGGTGCAGGCAGAGCCATCACACCGCAGGAGACTGCTTTGGCCTGGAGGAGGCTGGCAGGAGCCCACACACTAGTCATCCCTTCCTGCATTCATTATTTGTTAGGCTCCAAGGCAGACATTTAGATGAAAAGATCAATGTCTTTTAGTTCCTGTCCTCAAGGAGCTTACAGTCTAGTGAGGGGACAGATAACTGTAACAGTGCAATGTGTGCTACAACAGAGGTGGGACCAAAGCCCTAGAGCCTGGGGAAAGCAAAGCTTACCACCTAGGACAATCAGGGAAAGCTTCCTGGAGGTGGTGACTTTGGGGCTAGAGTACACATATTCTAAGTAGGGAGGAAATGCTCTCTGCAACTGCCTGTAGTGTTCTCTGTACTCAGACTTCAGTTTCTTAAGAAGGGGAGGCATGAGGGAGGTTTCTATAGACTCAGATCCCCTCTCGGGCCCTCCCAGAGGCATAACAAAACCTGAGAGCATGTATTGAAGCCCTTGGGCTCTATCTGAGTGTTGAACCCTAGGGGGTGCTTTTTTGATATTTCTCTGTCTTAGGGGAGGCCAAGGTCCCCCTTCTGGTCCAGTTGTCCTGTTAGTGCTTGCTTGAGGACCAGCTTTGTATGGGAAGCAGGCGCTGAGAAACAAAGCCCCTTTCCTATCAGAACATGAATAGGTTTATCTTTCTGGAGACAGGAGAGAGAGTGGAGAAATTGGAAGAGCCTACTGGGGAGATAATGACAAGAAATGGCAGATTGTCCAGCGCCGTATTGGGAGGGACAGGAAGGATTCCCTTTCCACTGGCCTAAGCCTATGACCATTCCACGGGGGCAGCCAGACTGGGTGGAAAACCTATGGGTTGATTTTGTTGTGAAGGTAAAACCCAGGCAGGGGTGAACCAGAGACTGGGGCTGGGGGCGGGGCTTGTGCCCAGTTCCTCAGCGGACAGGGTAAGGGAAGCTCAGGGAGAAGAGGAGTCTGGGCAGCTGACCCTGCCCTGCACCCCTTTTTCCTAAATTTAGGGAAGCTGAGTCACCATGCCAGCTGCAAGGAAGGAGGGAGACACCCTGGCTGGGGACGGATGGTTGGTTTGGGGAAGTAGGCCAGCTGGCTCTTGGGCTGGCCCAGGACCTGGGTGTGGGGGCATGGAACCCTACTCCTGTACCTCAGAGCAGAGCACAGTCCCCAGCTCAGTGATCCGTAACTTGAAATGGTCCATAATGGAAGTATTAACACCATTGAAACTGGCAGTCAGGGCTTCACCTCCCCTGGAGAGCAGCAGCACATTATTGCTTTTACTCCAGAGTCAAAACACAGGACAAATAACTCACTCTGCAACCCTGGGAGTGAAAGAAAGGCTCCCAAAAGGTGGTCCAGATGGGGCTAATGTCTTCTGCTTTCTCCCAAGTCTGGGCCCCTGAGATAAGGACTCCCCAGCTTCTTTGCCAGCAGAGACGCTTTTCCCCCTGGTTTTGTTGAAGGGAAGGGATTGGAGCCCTCTCAGTATTTTACAGAGTTGGGGTAGTGGCCTGAGGAACAGTGAAACTCTAGCCTACTGAGGGGCAGGACCCAGGTGCTTTTCTCTGGGGCAGCAGGATGAATTTCCTTCCCCACCGAAACCCTTCCATGTAGCTCTCCTGGAGCTTGCTCAAGAAGAAGGCATACCTGAATGATTCAGGAAGGATGTCCACCTTGTAGGGCATCTCCCCTCAGCCTTTTCTCTCCTACTAGCTTCTGAGGCCTTGACCCTCAACCTCTATATCCCATAGCTGCTCAGACTTTGGCTGTCAAGAAGTCATAAGAAAGGGGCGATATTATTGGCACATCTCTGCTCCCATTTCCTCCACCAACTGTAAATGACTCAGGAGAAGGAATGAGATGCATAGAGGGGCAATTATATTTGGTTTCCAGGGCTCTAAATGGGCTACTTTGGTCCATGTCCTGTCATGAACAGTATTTCTTATGTCAGCAGAGCCTGCTTGCACAGCTTCTTTAGTAGCCCTTTAGGATGTCTGCCATGCATGTGTAGATAAAGACACATAGGCACGATCAATGTGCAGAATAGTCCAGGAGCCAGGGAGGATAAACTTCCAGCACCACCTCTTTCTGCTCATTCTACTTCTGCAAGAAGCTGGAACATAAGCTTTAACATGAGTAACCCAGGAAGCTGAGATCTGAGGGAGAACATCTTCATGGCCATGAACTTGATCTGGTTTCTCCTGGCTTTTCTCCCTCAGGTCTTCATTTTCCTACTTGGCTGTTCTCCATGCTCAGTACTATGTCCCTAGTTCATTCCACATTGAGTCAAAAACTCCTTATGCTTTGTTTCTGCTTAGATCTCAGAGAATATAGAGGTAGTTTTCTTAACTTAATAAAAGGTAGGTACCAGAAACCTGTAGCATACATTACACTTTATCGTGAAACATTAGAAACATTACTATTACAGCCAGGGACAAAGTAACAATACCCATTATCACCACTATCATTTAACATTGTATTGGATGTCCTAACCAGTGCAATAAGACAAGAAAAAGAAATAAGAGTCAGAGTTGGTGAATCCAATCAAGTTATCTTATGATCCAGATTCTGTGACTGGACTGATCTCAAATGTCTCTAGAGGTAGAGATTTCAATGCATGTTGGAAGTAAGATGTGGATCTTATCCTCAAGGAGCCTAGAGTTTAGAGTAAGAGGAAAAAAGAACTGGGACTTTAAAATGAAGTCATTTGTAATAAGGCAGGTATGGATAAGTCTCTGTGAGAGTGAGGAAAAAGGAGATACCAAAGACTGGGGAGGCTCTGTGTTGAGTGTGGGTTTTAAACAGAGCCTTGGACAATGGGTAAGATTTTGAAAGTGAATGGGGTTATTGGAGAGAGAGGGTTTATAGTGAAGACAGGAAAGCATAGGAAATGTTTGAAGAATAGAATAGATTGAGAGCATATGGGCTGTGTGAGGGAGTCAAGAAAGGTAGCCTGGGCCCTGCCTCTGGTTGGTCTTAAATACCAGATTGAGAGCTTGGATCTTATCTAGTGGCAATGTGGGAAGCTGTACTTTTGTCAGGGGAGTATGCCATGATCAGAGCTGTAGTTTAGGAAGATGTACCTGATGGGTCTGGGCAGGAAGGATGCAAAATGGGAGAGACTTTGAACTGGAAGTTATAGGAGCTTATTAGATAGCTTAGGTATAGGGACTGGATCAGAGTGCTGACCACAGAAATAAAAAAGAAGCGATAAATGCCAGGGGTGCTGTGCAAGTAGTAGGTGTTCACAAATTGATGGGGTGTAGTGGGTGAGGGAGAGGGAGACATCAAAGATGGTTCTGAGGTTCTATGAATAGAAATAGAGTGATGGTTCCATTAACAAGCTAGGAGTTGGGAGAAAGAACGAGTTTGGTGTAAGAGTAAGACCCCAGGGTTAGGAATGCCAAGTTTGAGCCTGCAGGTAGAGATGTTTGAAAGGCAGTTGAATATGCAGAATTGGAGTTTGAAAGAGTAGAAAGGGCTATAGATTTTGGAGCTATCCTCACAAGAGTGAAGTTTAAAGCTTTGGGCATGGATGGTATCTCTCTGTCACTGGGCACGAAGAGAAAAGAACATAGGGTAGAATGGCCATGACGGGAGTGGAAGCTGTGCAGAGGACTGAGGATGAACAAATGCTCATGCTGGTGAGAGGAGACGTGGACTGTGGGTCATCACAGAAGTCAGGATAGTAAAGGGTTTCCAGGAGGAGTGGCGGGGGAGGGGTGTTAGCAATGTCACTGTAGAGAGGTCACGAGGAGGAGGATTGAGAAAAATGCATTGGGCTTGCCAATTAGGTGGCCCCAGCGATTTTCAAAGGCATATTTTCAGTAGAGTGGTGGTGATAGAAGCCAGACTGAGGGGCTGAGGAGTGAGTGGAGAGGGAGTGCAGACAGCATGTCAACTCCTCTTTGGAGTGGTTTTGTGATAAAAGGAGAGAAGATGGTAGCTAAAGAGGGTAGCAAGATATTGAGAACTTTTTTTTTTTTTTGTACATACAGGAACCATAAGAATGTTTTTAGAGAAGAGAGAGAGAGAGGTTGCATTTGGAGGGTTGAGGGAGAAGTAAAAGATATGAGAGAAATAGAAATTGATAGAATAACACCTCTAAGAAAGTAAAAGGGGATAGGCTTAGGAGCTTAGGTGGATAATTTAGGCTCAGTCAGGAGGTAAGATACCTATTCATGAAATACTAAAGGATAGATACAGATTTAGGGGGATACTGGTATCAAGCCTTCAGACCTTAAATTGAGAACCCAGTTTTAACATTTCATCATGCAAATAGGAGATGAGGTCAAGCTCCATTCATTCATTCATTCATTCATTCATTCATTCATTCAACACAAGCCCCTAATCTGTGCTACATGCTAGTCTAGGCTCTGGAAAAATGGTGGCAAACGAAGTAAAAATCTTTGCCTTCATGGTGGAGTTGGACAATAAGCAAATAAGCAGATATAATATATTATGTCAGATGGAAGATAAGTGCCCTGGAGAAAGCAGTGAAATGCCAGTGAGGGGTAGAGGGTAGGTGGGTGGTTACACTTTCACATAGGACAGTTAGGGACGGCTTCACAGGGTGGTGAAGGGACGAGCCAGGTGGAACAGCAAGTGCAAAGGCCCTGAGGCAGGAGTATGCCTGCTATGGGGAGAGTAGTGGGACAAGAAGTCAGAGAGGTGATGGGAGTGGGGGCCAGCTTATATGGGCCTTGTAGGTGATTGCAAAAACTTTGACTTTTACTCAGTGTGCTGTGAGAAGCCTTAGAAGGGTTTGGGCAGAAGAGTGACTTCATCTGACTTGTGCTAAAAGGATCAGTGTGGCCTGGGAGGAATGAGGAAGACCAGTTAGGCTGCTGATTTGGATCAAGATGGTATCTGTGGCGAAGGTGAGAAGTGCTCAGATGGTAGACATTATTTTGGAGTTGGAGCCATCAAGATTTATAGATAGACCAGAAATGGGATGTAAGAGAAAGAAAAGTCAAGGTTTTGACCTTAGCAACTAAAAGATGGAGTTGCTCCTTATCGAGATGGGAGTGGAAGTAGGAAGAGCCGGCTTAGAGGGCTATCAGAAGTGTGATTTTTGCCGTGTTAGATTTGAGATGCCTGGAAACACCCAGGATGGGGAGGCCTATGAGTCAGGAGTCTCCGGGTGGGGGTGGGGCAGGGCAGAGCTTAGACGCGTGAGAGGAGTCAGTGTGTGGCCGTCATGGGAAGCTTGCTCCTGCGTGTTATCGCCTAGGGGTGAGCACAGGAGAGGAGAGGTCCCAGGAGTGCGCTCTGGAGCCTGAGCAGTTAGAGATGCAGGAGAACCAGGGGGGAACTGGTATGCCGCCGCTTCTGACCATCACCACGGGGTGACAGTGGTCACTGGGAGGCCCCCATGTGTGCAGGTGGCTCGAGAGCCAGCTAGGGCAGTAACGGGAGGGCAGCGCAGGTCCTCGTAGATCTTCCAGGCAGGCTCATTTCGAGGGCTTCTCTGTGGTCCGCAGCTTTGGGCAGGAGTGGAGAGGGGACTGGCTCCCACAGAAGAGGATTTCTAGGGTAGGTGTGACGGAAGGACAAAGGGCTGAGGGGAGCTTGGGTGCTAGGGAGTGTGACCCTTGGGTGCAGAATACAGGGTCACAGTTGACTCCAGGAAGACACAGGTGAGCCTGAGAGCAAAGAGGGCCCAGGATGGGGCCATGCTGACTGTGAGGGGCAGGGGGTATGTGGGGCCACGGGCCTGAAATCTCCTGGTCCCAGGCCGCACCTTCCTGCTCCACGCTGGGGTTAGAGATGAGAGGAGGTGTGTCTGCCCTTCTGAGAAGCCAGATCCTAGATCCACCCTCTCTTCTTATCTGACGCCCTCCCCACCTCCCTCCAGCGTGTGGTCAGAACACCAACTAATCTTGATTTTCTCTTTGTTTTTGTTTTGTTTCGTCTTGTTTAATGCCTTGTCCCTTGCGTTCTTTGTGCGTCCCATGTCCATCTGCCCCTGTGCCTGGGTGTGGTGCCTTCCTTGCCTGGTGTCATCCCTTCCTTTCCTGCTTGCCTTCCCTCCCTGCCGGCTCCCCTGGGGGTGTGGGCAGCGTACAACGCCAGACTGCAGGATATGGGGCAGCGTGTCAGCTCCCAGCACCCCCCTCTCCACCGGCTCCGATCTTCCTCCCTCTCTGGTTGGTTCCTCTCCTGCCTCCCCCGTTCATAACTCCTTGGCCCTCGTCTTAACTCTCAGTTTCTCTCTTTCCTTCCTCCTTTATGTACTATTTCTTCCAAACTTCTGTCCACTTTCTTCCTCCTTATTTTTCCATTTCCTCCTCCCTTCTCCTCTGTTCTTTCCATCTCTCTTTTCCTCACTGCCCATCCCTCCTTCTCCTTCTGCATGAGTGAGTGCTCCCACTTCTGCATGGACACAGGCCTGATGCTTCCAGCCTTGGCCTTACCTGCTCGGAACAGGGTCTGGGGTAACGAGACTCAAGTTCGGGTTCCCCATGGACACGCAGGCCTTAGGTGCTCAGGGAGGGCTCGGGATAGCCCAGCTCTGCAGACACGCTGGCCCGACCACCCGGGATGTCGAGCCAGGGCCCCGGCAGGAGCCAGCCTGTGGTTTGCGTGGGACGCCAGGCACTAGACAAAGAGCGGTGTCCCAGCTCCTGCTGTGCTGTCCACTCTTGGGTATAGCACTCCCTGGGGACAGAACACCCCCTGTGACCTTGTTCTGAATCTGATCCCAGGACCCATGGCCAAGAGGCAGAAGCCCTGGGTGCGGTTCTGGATCTGGCTAAGCCCACCTCAGTGACCCCGGGCAAGTCTCTTCATTACTCAGAGCCCAGTGTCCCAACGGATAACATGGAGAGATCACAGCCCTGCCCGTGTGCATTTTGCATGGTGGCTTGATGTGCCCCAACGTGGGGGACCCTTCACCAAGGGTCACGTTGCTCTGTTGAAGGTGGTGTAGTTCACTACGTCTGCCCCGGTCTCTTGGACAATTGGGCCCACAGACTTTGAGACCGGGGACAGTCACCTCACCCTTTCCCTGCTCCTTGGAGCCGGAGGCCTGGGCCAAGGAGAAGATGGTGCTCAGGCTTGTCCCACGCCCTGACCTTGATTAGTCCCGGGAAAAGGCTCATTCGGGTTCGGTGGGCACGGTTGACTCCCGGTGGCAATATCTGGCATTCCTGGACCCTCCTCTCCCAGTCCAGGATAACGGGAGACAGCTCTCGCAGAATGTCCCTGTCTGCTCCTCTCCTCTCCCTCCCCTTTTCTCGGCCCAGTGGTGGGGAGTGCAGGGTTCAGCTGGGCCGAGGGTTTGGGCCAGTTCTGGGTGGTGGGCTGTCCTGAGGGGAGCTGGCATGGCTTGCCCTGGGGCTGCTAGCGTGCCTGCCGTGTGGCTTTCTGGTGCCCTGGCCCAGCAGGTGGCCTCCCGGATCCCCTCTCTTCCGGAGCCCGGCATGCAGTCGGAACCCCACCACCTGGAGCTGAGGAATCCAGTCTTCTGGAAATCGGAAGGCTGGAAGGAAGAGCTGGTCTCTGGGGGTGGAAGCGGCCAGGCCGGGCTTGTAGGGAAGGCCTGTGACGAAGCCTGGCACTGGGACATTTGTCCATGGGACCCAGGGGTGGGCAGGGCCGTGTCCTGCCATAGTGTGTGTGTTGATGATGTTAGGGCTACAGCTCCCAGAACTGCAGTGTTTGTGTGAGTGTGTGTGCACGCACATGTGTGTACATATGTGCATGTGTGCATGCGTGTGTATGTGTGTTAGATGAGGTGGATTTATATCTCAGGTCCAGCCTGCTTTATGGGGGAGCCTTGCAGCCAGCTGCTCCTCCCAGCACACTATCTGGGGAGCAGAGTGAGGACTCCTGGGAAATGGGAATGTTCCTGTCCCCTGCTCTTCAGGTCTGGTGGCTCATGCGGAGGCCCTGGGCTGAGGTGACCACTGTCTTGCAGGTGGTGGGGAAGGCCCAGTGCCCACAGTGTGTGAGCAGCCCTCGGAGGATGACAGGGCATCTGAGTGTGGCCCGTTATTATGCTGAAGGACACTGTATTGCCATAAGGGCGCCCCACCCCTCCTGCTGCTGGGGTGACACCAGCTTTGTGGGAAGACCTTCCAGAGTCCCTCCACTGCCTCTTCCCCTCTCCAGGAGCTTCCCCTGGCCGTGCCAAGGAAGGGGCCGACTGTGGGGTTCTGAGGCTGACCCTGCCCTCCTGCTGCTCCTGGGGGGGAAGGCGGTGTGTGCGTGTGTGTACGCCTGTATGTGCGTGGAGGGACTGAGCCCACGGGGATGGTGGCCCTGAGAGCCAGGAGGGGGCCTAAGACTGAGAAAGGCCTGGGGTTGAGGGTGGGGAGGGGAGGAAGGCAATGAGGGGGAGCAGGCCTACTTTTATTGTTGGTCAGTCTCCAGGACGAGAGGGGGGTGTTCTTGCCCTGACACTGGCTGTCAGCTGTGTCCAGACAGCCCAGCTTGGCTGAGAAACAATGGGGCTCTCTTCTCTCCCCTCCGCCCTGCTTCGTCTCCCCTCCAGTGGGGTAAGACAAGAGAGAGAACATGGCTCTCCAGGCACTGGGGACAGATCTGGGCCTGCCAAGGGGGACAACACTGAGACACTGTGTTCAAAGAATGTGAGAGGCCCTGGCTGGCCCCTGGTGCCATGCGGCCTTCTCCAGGGGAGGGGCTGCCCCGTGGGAGTGGAATTTGGGGTCTTCCCCTTCCTGCAGGGGGAGGCTCCCCTGCAGCGAGCTAGTTCTTTGGAGGTCACTCTGGCAATCCCCCTGCCTCAGAATGAGCCGCGCTCCCGTGTGCCGGCCTGGTGGCCCTGGAGAGGGGACTTGAAGAGGTGAGAGGGCTCCAGGCGTCCCACAGCCTCCTGCTGGGGTCTCCCGTCCTCTGCAGTTGGGAGCCCCTCTGGCAGTCCAGCCTCCCCTCCGGGCTTTGTAACCATCTGAACACGGGGGGCGTTCTGGGCACACTGGGGAGAATGTTCTTTGTCCCTCTGGGAGATGCAGGGCCTCAGACAGACCCATTCTCCAGGGCAGACACTGGATCCCACGCGGGGATACTGCCACCCTCACCAAAGCGCAGGGATCTGCCAGGAAGAGGCTGTGGGGCTGGGCCGGCCGGAACTCAAACCGGCCCTAATGCATTTCTGTTAACCTTGGGGCTGAACTTGGTTCCAAACCCCAAGAGCCTTTCCCAAATGGGCCTCCTTTGTCACAATTATTATTAGAAAATCAATGGCTACGTCTGTTTCTCTCTAATGTTTTTGCCAGGAATGAGGCCAACAGTAGTTCTGGACCAAGCTACCCAGCGGGGCGGAAGGGAAGGGGCTCGGTGGGGGAGGGAGAGGTGTGGCTGAGGGTAGGGGCGCCCACAAGCGTGGGAGGTGCAGGCGGCTTCTCTGAGGGCTGGGGGCCTGGAGTGAGGTGGGGTCCCTGTGCACTGCTCAGGACTTTAAGAGACCCACCCTCTCTTTCATCTGGCCCTTGGTTAGGGTGATCTCCAATTTTCTATTCTAAAAGTCAGGGCACTTCAAAGTGGTGGCTTATTTGCTTTCATTAAAACAGTTTGTGAGTCCAGATTACCGTCCCCATTTGGGCTCCTTTCTCTCCGTTGAGATGGCCGGCAGGCTGCCTCTTAGTAATAAATAGCTCCACACGGAGCCTGGAGCACCGCCGTGCACCTTCTGTGTTTGTGGATGTGTGTGCCAGTCCGGCAGCTCTCCAGGCGGGGCCTCTAATTATGGGCGAGTGTGAGTGAGTGTCTCGGAGTGTGTCTGTGTGCGTGCGTGCGTGTGTGCCTGTCCCTAGACTTGGCACCGGCAGCCTGCTATTCATGACAAGTAGGAAGGCTTCGCAGCTGGTGCTTCTCATGGCAGCCTAATGGCTGTGTCCGATGGGAGCCGGGAGGCCGCCGGTGGTGTGCAGATCCCCCTCCGGGTGGTAGATGATTCAGTCTGAATGAGGGTGATTTCTGCTCGGCGGCACCGGCACATTCCCGGGGCCAGCCGTGTGTATGCGTGTGTGCCACGGGACAGTGTTCCCAGGTGTGCTGGCATGAAGCTGGTGTGGCCAGGGTCTCAGTCCCACGTGCCCTTTGCTAAGTCCCAGTACCTCCCCTCACCTGACCTCCTCTTGGCTGGTGGTGAGGACAGGGCTGAGCATCTTCCGGCCACGGGATAATCAGAAGTAGGAGCCTGTCCTCAGGCTGGGTTTGGCCTCTGCGACCCTGCGGGGTAAGTTTTCTAGGATTCTGGAGCCAGCTCAGTGAGGCAGTGGGTTCCGTGCCTCAGCCCAGCTGTGGGGAGAGAGAGTGGGAAGGAAGGAGGGTGAGGTTAGCAACATCCCCAGGCCTGCGGAATGGAAGGAAGTACAGCAAAGCAGATGCGGCCATGACTCCAGCTCTGCCCGCTGTCCTGCTGGGAGGGACGGGGTGGGAACCTGGGCCACCTTCAGACAAGAAAAGCGGTGGGTAGCTAAGGGCTGGCATAAGGGAAGTTGGTAAGAGGTTTCACGGGTGCACCGGATGAAGTTGGGGAACCCCAGAGAAGGTCAGCAATACACCAGGGGCCAGTTGGGGCTGGGGACTTTATAACACGACTTAATCATTTCTTTGTTCCTTCTTGGGAGCACCATTGGCAAGATGATGCATTATTCGCTGTTTCCAAAAGTTCTTCCCCACGGGCCGATGTTGCTTGTTGGTTGATCAGTCGCCTTGGAGACTGCCTCTCCTCCCTCCACCTTCCCTCATTTGCCTGGAAGCTCTGGCTTTCTGCCTCCAGGCCTTGGGAGGAGTTGACATCTGTTTCTTGTATCAGTGCTTTGCGCTCTGGGCCCCAGCCCTGTGCGGAGTAGGTTCCTGGTGAAGGCCCAGCCCAAGCAGGTCCCTCGCCTGCAGAGAAGTCCAGGGTGTGGGCAGAGGGGGCAGGGAGGAGGTGCGGAGGGGAGACAGGCCCAGCTCCAGCATGGCCCCTGGGCTTGCACGGTCTTCTCTGGGGGATTAGGCCCAACCTCGATTCTCTCTTGTACGATATGCTCACTGCCCTCTCTGCCCTGCCATTCCTCCCAGGGGTGCAGGCTCGGGAGAAGCCGCCTGCAGAGCCCCCAGCCCCACTCCGGAGGCGGGCGGCCAGCGATGGACAGTACGAGAACCAGTCTCCAGAACCCTCATCCCCCCGGAGCCCCGGGGTTCGCTCCCCCGTTCAGTGCGTGCCCCCGGAGCTGGCGCTCACCATCGCTCTCAATCCTGGAGGGCGGCCCAAAGAGGTGAGTCCTCCGGCCACATCCTGGGCCCACAGAGGGCAGCAGAGCCCATCGGAGTGCCCGGGAACATCATGATGGTCAACGGGGCTGCCCTGACCTGTCAGGAGACCAGGAATCTTTCCTCCCCGCATCCTTACCTAGGGTTCTGGCGTGTGGATCTGGAGCTCATTTCCTGCCCTAAATAGCTTTCATGTCCTCACATCTTCCATTCACACTGAGACTGAGTTCCCTTCTTGACTACTAAAGAGCACCCCTGAGCAGGGTGGTGAGGATCCTGGCTGTGACACAGGGGACCACAGTCTGTAAACTCCAAACCAGAGCCGATAGTCTGACTGTTTTCCAGACCTTTCTAGATATAGGATTTTCTCCAGAGATCTAATTTCAATGCCAAAATGTTTGTATTTCCGACACATTTCAGTTGTTTGAGGCAGTAGGTCTTAAACTTGGGCATGCATGACAGTCACCAGGAGTTTGTTAGATGTGGATTCCCAAATCCAGCTCCAGAGAGTCCAGCATGGCAGCCCTGGGGCGGGGCCCAGGAATCTGCATTCTGCATGCATTCTGGGCGATTCTGATGCAAGTTGTCCACGTCCGGTAAAATCCAGGCTGACTCATTTTGGACAGGAATGGCTTTTGGACATCTTTTCTCTCCTGCCTTCTGCCTGGATCCGAGTCCCTGGTCCCCAGACCCTTCTTTTCGGCCCTGTTCTGAAATATTTCCAAGGCAGTGCTCCTGAATCCCGCCGGTGCCTTTCCAATGGCCTTGCAAAATAGCCACTTTCCGTTCCCTTGGCTACAAGGAATTGTTGGGGCTGTGAATGGGCAGCATCGCCTTTGACCTCTGTGTTCACCTGGCAGGGTGGCTGGTCAGGCTGGCAAGGGGATTTGTGGGCTGGTTAACTGGGAACGCGTCCTTCTCAAGGTTATGGCTGCCAGTGTACCCCCTTTCCTTCCCCTTGTTTCTCCTGCAGCCCCATCTGCACAGCTACAAGGAGGCCTTCGAGGAGATGGAGGGAACCTCTCCGACCAGTCCACCACCCAGTGGGGGTAAGAGCTCCCCACGAAGTCTGTCCCTAATCATCTTGTGGCTCATTTCACTTCACCTCCCACCCCCCACTTCTCTTCTTTTCTCTGGTCCACACCCCAACATCTAAAGATGCAGCAGCGAAGTCTTAGGGTCCCACTGACGGACGATGAGGCCCCTGGACTCCCATGTGTGGTGTTTTCCTAGATGTTGAGTCCTTGCATCCTGTGTACAAAACGTTCCCTGTCCTAAAGTGACTATGATTTGTGTGCGTCTGAGACAACCCTTGACCTTCTTGCTTCTCAGGCCCATTTCTGGGTGCACCAGGCATCTCCCTTAGTGTCTCTCGGGGAAAGCAAGGCCCAGTGTGCTCGGGCTGACTGAGTCCCACCTCACCGAGCCTTGGCCTTCAGGCAAGAGCACATTGTCTGTACCCCTGATGCACTCACTGGAGAGGCAAATCCCCAAAGGGCAGAGGTATTTCCAGCCAAAGAGAAGACTGGATGAGCACAGGAGTGGGGCAGTGTTCCTTTCTGCGGTAGAAGAGACATGCAGAGGAGCTCGGAGGAGCCCTTTGTGGGAAAGCGTGAAGGAGCACCACCAGGCTGCAGAGGACTTGGGGTCCCCGTGAGAGGCCTGGGGGCGAAGAGGGGAGACTGGTGTTGCGCTGGGCCAGGCCCAAGCTGTCTGTGCATTTGCCCCCGTGGGCAGGGAGGGGGCGGGGAGCAGAGCGGGAGCTGGCCGTGCGTGTTCCTGGTGGCCGGCTGTTCTGCTGAAGGAGGAATGTGGCACCGGGACCTGCCCCTCGCTCCAGAAGGACTCGTGCAGGCTGCCGTCCTGGGCACTGGAGCCGTGGCTGTCCCTAGAGCAGCGCTGCCCGATGAAAACAACACGAGCCGCGTCCGTCATGTACAAATTCGGAGTAACCCCAGGGGAAAACATAACGGGACACTGGAGAAATTACATTTCGTGGTCTTTTTAAAAATGTCATCCAAAATATCATCATTTTCATTGGTAACCCACTATAAAAATAGTAACAAAATATTTTTCAACCTTTTAAAAGAATGCCAAAAGAAACGGGTGCAAATAATTTTAATACTGGGTTTTATTGAACCCCAGAGATCTAAAATGGTATCATTTCGACACGAAATGATATATTGAGATATTTGTGCCCTTGTTTCACACCAAGTCTCTGAAATCCGTGTTACGGCGTTCGGTCAGACCGGCCACGTTGCGCGTGTGGCTCACGGCTACGCGATTGGACAGCGCGAGCCCTGGGCACTGTGGTCCAGAGAGCGCTGTGGCCTCCTCTGACTCCATGCACGCTCTCTCCCTGGCCTCGCTTTGCTCTCACACCAGCTGAGTCCTGTGGGTCCAAGCAGCCAGGCTCTTGGCCGGCACCCTGTTTGGGACGGAAGCCATGTGGGCTGAGCTGGGCTTTGGTTTTGCCGCTTGTTCTTGTCCCAATTCTTCTCTTTCTCCCTGGGTCAGCCTGGGTGCCCTGGAGGGGGAGGGGAGAATAAGTCAGAGGCTCACAGAGGACAGAGGCGGAGAAATGCGAGGAATTCTCCCAGAAGCAAAAGCTTTGCCTGGCTTTAGGGCACCCACTTGTCTGCCCCCGAGAAGGGCCAGATCCTGAGGACGGGGCATGAGGTAGCAGGGAGCTGGAGATGCCTGAGCGGAACCGAGAGAAACCTCCCGTGCTTGGGGGCTGGAGAGCCCTTGGGGTCCTTCCATGGACCCGTGGCTCATTATTTTCATAATTACATTGAAATTTATTTGTGGGACAAACATTAATATGTACTTCATAAGTGCCTATGGCAAGACACCTCTGTGTGTGTGTGTGTGTGTGCAAAGGAAGAGGGAGGGACAGACAGACGCACGATCCTAGACCTACCCAAAGCTTGGCTGTGTGTTTGTACACAGTTGTCCCCTCTGCGGTATTTGTCTTTGGGCATCTGAGGACAGAGTGAGGTAGTGTGCAGGAGTGGCTACCCACTGGACCCTGTGATGTCTCATTGTTCTCTCAGACACCTGCGTGCACACCTGCATACACAAATAGGCTATATAGGTTACTTGCATTGAGAGATTGTATTTTTTGTTAGTTTCCTGTAGGTCTCACAGTCTTTTGGGAAAGGGAGGGGGCCAGGGAAGGTCCCAGAGCTGCTGTGTGGGGGTCCTGGACAACGGAGGGCCACAGCGAGGCTGTTGAGGCCATGGGTGCAAGGCAGGCAGCCTTGGGCTCTGGCAGATCGGGGTGGCTGCGTGTCTTCAGAGCCCATGGCCTCTGCAGGCTCCTGATGGCCGCGATAGGGGACACAGAACCCTTTTTTTAACTTCTCCTTGGAGGTGTGCCAGGATACATGGCAGCCACCATTGAGAAATCTCGTGACTGGGCTTAACAATCTCTCTGTAGATCAGCACAGAGTCTGGCCTCTTCCTTGGCTGGTGGGACAAAGCCGGACGGCCCTTTCTGACCTTGTGTGTTACGTGACACTTCTAACCTGGACAGGTGGCTTGGGAGGGACCTGGGGTTAGTGCAGGGAGTTGGTGCTATTGCCCGAGGATTGTGGATAATGGACTTCTCCCTACTCTAGAAGCCTGAGGTCTGGGGGTATGAGAGCCCCATGCTGAGAAACTCTCCCTGCCTGTGCAATGGACATGCTTGTCTGGGAGTCAGAGACCTTGGCTGAGGGCTACCCTGGGCTCAGGGTTGGTGTGGTTCCGCGGACCCCTTCTCCTCCACCTGTCCTCTGGGTGTGCTCTCTTCTAAGTCCACCTAAGTGCCCGGCTTAGAAAGACTATGTGTGCCCTGGCCGGTTTGGCTCAGCGGTTGGAGTGTCAGCCTGCGGTACAGAGAGACCCGGGTTCGGTTCCCGCTAAGGGCACGTACCTTGCTTGCAGTTTGTCCCCGGCCCTGGTTGGTCGTGCGGGTGGCAGCCACTCGATGTGTCCCTTCACGTCGATGTTTCTCTCTCTCTCTCTTCCTCTCTCCCCCTCCCGCTCTATCTGAACAAAAAATGGAAAGGTGTCCTCGGGTGAGGATAAAAAAAAAAAAGAAAGACTATGTGTGTGTGTGTGTGGGGGGGGGGGAGGGACTACCATGAGAAAGAACATCAGAGGCAGTGAAAGAAATCTGCACGCATGTTGTAAACCATGGCTTGTAGGGGACTGCAGTGGAGAAAGGAAGGGCCTAGGGCAAGGAAGGGTTTTCTCAAGGTTGAAGGGCAGGGCCAGCACGAGGGGCAGGGCCAGGACGAGGACACTGTGTCCGGCTCACTCTGTCCTTTAAACCATGAGAAACCCCGACAGGAAAGGGCAGCCGAGCAGCTGCTCGGCGGGGTGGGGCTAGTTCCTGTGTCCCCTCTCCTGCAGCCTCTCCCCACCAAGCCCTCGCTTATGGTGCCCTCCCTCCTGCTCCTCCCCTCCCCCTGCACCTCCCCATCCCCAGACTCACTCCTCCTGTCTCCCCTCTTCTTCCTGGCACAGTGCGCTCCCCTCCAGGTCTGGCCAAGACACCCCTATCGGCTCTGGGCCTGAAACCCCACAACCCGGCAGATATCCTGTTGCACCCCACGGGCGGTGAGTGACTCTGGCTGGAAGGGAGGGCCCCGGTGGGGGAGGCCAGAGGGAGGAGTGGGGGCGGGTTGGAGGACCCTTGTGGTCCTGGGCAGGACCTAGAGGTGGTGGGTTCTTCAGACCTTCCTGGAAGCGAGATGGCAGCCTGGTTTTGTGCCCATGCTGAGGTCTGGGGTTGAGGGGACAGACCCCTTTGCAGCCTCCCTGCCATTGGTTGACCAGTGGGTGAGCGCCACGCCCAGTGGCCTCTGGCGAGGGGGTTCGGAGGCCTGGCCTCAGTGTCCTTGGAGCTGGTTAGCTCCCCGCCAGACGCGGGCTCCCCGGTGCCCCAGTGCTGACACTCGTGTCTGCGTACATCCCCCCGCATCCTCATCGCCTCTCTCAGCCCCTCTCCCTCCTGGGGAGGAAGGAGAAAGTAGGGGCCCTGGGCCTTTGGTGGCCATTTCAAGCAGGCGGAGTCCACAAACTGGTTCCCTAGACTCTGGTTCTAGGGCTAGGCTGGGGCTCTGGGGGCCAATGTGGCTTCTTTTCCTTAGTCACCAGAAGGCTGATCCTGCCAGGTAGGAACACAACGGCATGCATGTGTGACCCACGCGGACACACGGTCGGGCACAGCCTCCCACTCAGGAGGCACCGGCATGGCCAGGGACACGGTCACCGGGAGCGAAGGGGCAGGGGCTGCCGCTCACTAGGCCAGCACACTCCTGCTTGAGACACAGCCCGGGAAGGCCCTGGGGCGGGGGCTGTGACAGGCACGGCTTGGACTTGGAGCCCTGGCGGCGGACTTGCTGCTGCTGGGAGCCAGGCCCTCTCTAAACGGGGGTCTTGTCAGGGTGAGCCTTACCCCTCCCCTTGGGCACTCTGGGGAGTCCCCTCTGTCCTGGCCTCGCCCCTGCTTCCCACCTCCCCTTTCTCAGCACATGCTCTCTCCAGAAATGCTCTGTTAACTGATCTCTCTCTCCTTTTTGCTCTCCCTCTCCTCTCCATCACCGCCTCTCTTCCCTCCCACCTCCCTCTCGCCTTCCCTCAGAGGAGGATGGGGGGAAGGAGGTGCCGCAGCCCCCCGGAGGTAAGTGTCTGCTTGCTGTGTGGCGCTTTCAGCCGCCTGGGGCTGGGAATGGCTTTCCCTGGCTGCTTGGGGGCAGCCCTTTGCTGACCAGGTCTCAGGTGACCAGACACATAACATCCTGGTCTCTACCACCCGGGGATGAGCTGTCGCCTGGAAACCGCCTGAGTCCCGCCTGGAGCTCATGGAGTGGGCTCAACGCAGCCCGTGTCCAGGTGCCGACAAAACACCCCTCCTGTGCTGCCCACCCCCAGTGGCACTTCTGCCAGCCTCCTGGGGCAGGGCCCCTTCAGAGGAGAGGGGACGCACACAGGGCGGGGCTCTTTATTCCACTGCGTGCCTGGGTCCTCCGCACGCAGACCGCAGCAGGGTCCTCGGTTTCCCTCCGACTGTGGGGCCGGACAAGTCTTAGTTGAGGGGGCTGCCCTGTGCATTGTAGGATGTTTAGAAGCAGTCCTGGCCTCTGCCTGTTACATGCCAGTAGCACTCACCTATTCATGACAATTCAAATGTCTCCAACATGCAAATGTCCCCTAGGGGGACAGTCGACACCCAGGAGGTGGGACCATTGTCTTAGAGCTATGAGTTGACCTCTTGAAGCTCTTGCCCGTTTTTTTTTTTTTTTTTTTTATCAACGCAGATGGTAGGAGGGCTGTTTTTCTGGATTTTGATGCCTTTGGGGATTTCAGAAGAGCTGTGGACCCACCCCGTGCATCTGGACCCCTGCACATAGTTCCGACGATTTCAAGGAGTTACATGTCTGTGTCTCAGCTTAACCCTCATGTCTGCAAACTCCACATTGCACACGGGGTAGCAGAGACGGACACAATCTGGTTGCTGGCCTTTAACTTATTAGGAACAGAGTCCAAGTGATGGCCCAGCAGCAGGTGGAACGCAGGGGGGGCTAGCCTGGATGGCCTGTGTGTGGTTTTGTGGCACCTGGTGTGGTCACACCATCTCCTCCAGGGGCGCTTAGATGAGGTGGGTGTCGAAGCACCTTCCGGCTCCGACACGTTAGGTGTTCTGACTTCCCACCGGGACCCGTGGTCCTGTGGCCTGGCTTCTTTAAAGGCTCCATCTGGTTTTCTCAAGACCACGTCTGCTTTCCTTTGCACTTACCGCCTTGATATTCGACCCCCAGACAGACACGGGCTGTGCGGCTCTGAGTGTGCCATGCCCCAGGCAAGGCGGCTGGGATTTCCATAAAGCTTTGCCCACTTCCAGCCAGAGTTTGGGCAGCCACGCCAGGCTGCCTTGGGGTTGCAGAACCAGCGCCCCCGTAGCTGATGCCAAGCGGTGAGCTGCAGCTTGCTCCTGGCCGCCGGTCCCCACAGAACGGGAAAGCGGATAGGAGTCTAGGACAAGCTGGGGCCCGGAGCCAGCGTCCGTGTGTTCCAGATGCCCACCCACACTCTCCCCGTGGTTGCTGACTTCAGCAGACTGGTGGGACCTCAAGCCTCTCAGTGGGAAGGCCTGAGGTGGGTTATCCCACAGGCTGACAGTCCTGGCTCGTTCCCACTTTGGGGTGACACTTCAGAGGAGTGAGTATCCACAGAACGGACCCAAGACCTGCCCACGGTACACATGCACGACGCTCAGCCTACGAGGCCCCCATCCTCCCACCCGATCCATCTGTCCTTCAGCCACAGAATTAGGAGGGGGAGGATCTTAGGGATCAGCTCTGCCACACCCATCATTTTCACAGCTGTGGGGCTGAGGTCGTGGGGTGAGGGTGGGGGCACCTGACCAAGGTCACAGTTAGGAGGCAGTGGGGCTGTCTCCCAGTCAAGTGGCCGTTTCAGAGCGCTCCTCCTGCGCTCAGGCACGCTGCCCCAGGATGCCAGCGTGGGGGTCAGAATTGCTGTCGTGGCCTGGGGAGTGGGGTGGGTTGGGGGCAGGGAGCTAGGCTGTGGGCATCCAGTTTCATTTTTCCTGACTCATGTACTGCCTCCCGGTCAGACTAAAGCACGTTCTTTGCTGACCCTCTGAAGCTCTGCTTACTTTCCCTGCTGACACTTCGATGGAAAAAAAAAAAAAAAGCCTGTGAGAAACAGTGGTCAGAGGCAGAATTACTCAGCCAGGGCAGAGCAGACTGCAGGGGACTGTGCTCTGTTCAAGGCATTTGCATGCATGCTTTATTTTAGTTTATTCTGCCATTCATTGATTCATTTGGTCAATAAATATCTTGTGGGCCTACTATGTGCCAGGCACTGCGCCAGGCTCCGGGGATGTCATGATAAGCAGGTCCATGGTTCCGAATCTTATGGAGCATAGACATGAACTGGAGCCAGAATTAAATGATCACTCAGAATTACATCTTGGGACAAGTGCTGTGAAGGGGAGGGATGCAGTTTTATGAGACCAGTCAGGGGTGGGGAACGTCTGGCCCGTGGGCCATATAAGGCCCTCGATATCAATGCCAGCTAACATCACACACCTCACCAAAATTAGCTTGACCAAATAGAGCAGGCTAATTTTCAAGTTGATAATTTTGTATGGCCCGCAAATGATGGTATAAACATCCAAATGACCCTTGGCAGAAAAAAAGTTCCTCACCCCTGCACGGCAAAGACCCTGACCTTGGTTGAAGAAGTGAGATGTGAGAGTGAGTGACATTAACTTGGTAGAACGTGGATGGGAGGAGAGCATTCCATGTAGAGGAAAATGGCATGTGCAAAGGCCCTGGGGTGGGAGTCAACAACATGTTTTTTCTAGGAACCACAAATGCAGTGAGGCTGAGAGTAAGGGGGATCTGGAGCCTGGAATGAGGGGGCTCACGGGGGAATGTGGTACAGAGTGAGGCAGGGATAGAACTATGCAGTATCATTGTCATCTCTTACTCGATAATCACAGGAGCACCGTGAAGAAGGTGCATGGCTCCATTTTACATATGCAGAGATGATGTTTAGGGATGTTAATGACTTGTCTAGGCCAACACAGTCAGCTGGGCACAGCTGAGATCCTACACTGGATCAGCCTGTGGGTACTGCCCCTTTCCACGTGATTGTCCCGGGCACAGCCTCTGAACATAAACAGTGACGTTACTGGGCATGGGGACTGGGTACTCTTTTCCATGAAGGAAGGAGGGGAAAAAGTTTGCAGCAGCCAAAACGTGAGGCCAACATCAAGACTATCTACCCAGTGACACAGGGAGGATGGGCGAAGGGGATGTTCAGGTCAGGTTCTGTTTTTTATTTTATTTTACTTTTTTTATCCTCCCCCAAGGACATTTTTTCCATTTTTCGTTCAGATAGAGTGGGAAGGAGAGAGAGGAAGAGAGAGAGAGAGAGAGGGAAACATTGATGTGAAAGGGACACATCGAGTGGCTGCCACCCGCACAACCCAACCAGGGTCGGGGACAAACTGCAACCGAGGTACATGCCCTTAGCGGGAACTGAACCCAGGTCTCTCTGGACCGCAGGCTGACGATCCAACCGCTGAGCCAAACCGGCCAGGGCAGGTCAGGTTCTGTTGTCCAGAGGGTTGCACGGGACCGATGTGGCATAAAGGAAGATGCATGGGACTAGGATCTCCTTGGATCTTCCTGCTCTGAGATCTTTGGTGGCATCTGGGATTCCAGGGCAGTGCTGTGCGATGCAGATTTATTGAGCACCTGCTGTGTGCCAGGTCCTGTCCTAGGCACTGGGTGCAAAGATGAGTAAGACCACCTGGCGAGGACACAGGTGCTACAGGCATCTCAGCATGAGGTGGAGTGCTGAGCGGGTCGGACAGGGTGCAGTGGGAGCTCAGAGGAGGGCATGCGGCCCCATCTAGAAGGTCTGGAATTCTGACCTTTGAGCGCCTGGATTGGGACTCAAGGGGTCTCTTTAGCTCCTCCCTCTCCCCCACCCACATGTCTTCATTTACTTGGAGTGTGCAGCCCCCTTCTCTTCAGGCAAAGTGCCTCTCCAGGGAGGCAGAAAATGTACTTTAGGGTGTGGGTGAAGAGGCGACAGTGCCCCAGCCTGGTGGGGCCAGGCCACGCTTGGGCCTCCGGCTGCTCTCAGCAACTTGGAATGGGTTTGGGCTCCTGGAATGTTCTACACGAAGCACCCTCCCTGGCCCCCCTGCCCCTCCCTCCCGCCCAACCCTGTTGCCTCTGGGTGTAGCTGCCCCAGGATTGGAGGAGAGGAGCAAACAGCAGGAGAGAGGGTGGAGGGAGGCACCGGCCCTGCTGGGGCCAAGGGGCAGCGGTGGGGTTACTTGTAAACAGCTCATTGGAACCAGCAAGAAAGAATTAGAGGAAACTTTCCCATCTCTTATCACTTGATCCTGGCTGGGCAGGTGCGTATTATCATTCCCATTGTACAGGTGAGGAAACTGAGTCCCAGAAAGGTTCAGCAGCCTGTCCCAGGTCACCTGTTCAGCCAGTGAAAGACGGGGGAGCCCACGAGTCCTACACTATACTGAGGTGGGGGTAGGGGAGGAATAGACAGGAGAATGAGGCATTTTCAATATAGAAATCAGTCTGAAAAGTTGGCAAAACTGAGTTTTGGGCCCAAACGATTGGTTTTGAACAGTTCTGGAGATAGACTCAGAAAGTCAAATAACTTCTCAAAGTCCCTCCTGCTCTGAGTTTGTGAGGAGCAGAGACTGAGCAAAGGGGCTTCCCTTATATCTACCTCGATCTGGGGGACGTCACTGGTGGGAGAAGAACTCATGCTTCAAAGATCATTCACGTGGGTTTTAGCCTGAACTTCGGCAGTCAGCAAGAATTCCAGGGAACGAGAAAAACGAACGCGCGTGTGTTAGTTCTTCGTCATGACGCACCCCTGGCTGGGTGGGGCTGGAGGGTGAAGGTCATTTATCTGCCAGTTCGTGGGACAGACACACGTCTAGGACCTCCTAGGTGCCAGGCACTACACAAGGGGGTGGATGGAGCCCCCGGCCATCTCTGGGTGGGAGAGAATGGGTGCCAAGTGCTGTGGGGACCCCAGTGAAGCTGAGAGACTGGAAGGGGTTAGGAGGAATTTTCTTTTCTTTTCGTTTCTTTTTTTGGGGGGAGGAATTTTCAGAGACTAATCCCAGGCAGTGAGGGATGGGCTGGGAGAGTGGGCTCTGGCCTTGGGTCTAGATGATCATTTCTGTGGGTATGTGGCGCCCTTCTGCCAAGCTGAGTTACCCCAGGACACGCGGCCAGCCCCCAAAGGCTAAAGATTCACTGAAACTATCCGCTTCTGGATTTTCAGCCGGACATGTATGCAGTGAGCCAGAGAGCAGGCTTGGGCCAGGCCACCTGGTTCCCCAGACCACCTGGGTCCCTAGACCACCTGGTCCACACTTGCTACTGTGTGACCCGGGAAAGATACTTAACATTCTCCAAATCCTACTTTCTTTATATACTTGTTTGCTGTTTTTATCCTTATTAATAGCCCTGTGGAGTAGGCTTTTCTCGGGGTGATGGGTTGGAGTTCTGGGTAGCAGCCAGCTCTCTCTAAGCCACCCTGAACCAGAGCTGAGAACCAGGAGGCCATGGTGCTAGTATCCACCACCACTGCTTGGCTGTGTGTTCTAGGACAAATCGCTCCACCTCTCTGGGCTGAGGAGGTGGGTTAGATCAGCGGTCAGCAAACTTGGTCAGATCTGGTCCACCACCTGTTTTTGTAAAGCCAGTTTTATGGCAACACAGATATACTCATTTGTTTATGGACTGTTGCCTGTGGCCGCTTCCAAACGGCAATCGCAGAATTCAGTGGCTGTGACCGAGACTGTCCGGCCCACCAAGCCTGACATATTTCCTCTGGTCCTTTACAAGAAAGTGTGCCTGCCCCAGGCCAGAGGCCCTCTGCAGCGTCTCCTGCTTCCAGTGGGGCCTTGGGCGCGGATGGCGCAGCTTCAGTGCCTTTGGCATGGATGCGGCCCGGGGCTCCTGCGAGCTGTGTGGGTGGCCTGGGCTGCTGGGGGGCTTTTAAGGATGCCTTGCTGGCCTCTGCTCATGTGGACTCCGCTTTGGGTGCCGAGGTGGCTGGGGCTACAACACCCTGCACCCCGTGCCTGGAATTGATTATTCCAGGCTGTCCCTTTGCAGATATCCTGCCCCGCCCCAACCCGTTGTCACTGCTGTTGGTTGGAGGGAACTCAGTCAACTAGGAGGGCTGGTGGCGCTGCGCAGGGCCTCGGTGGCTCACGCCGGTTTTAGCAGACGCCCTCACCGTGGGTGGAGTGGGTCTGTGCTCAGTCATGTCCCTCCTGAGGAGACAGGACCGTGTCTTGTTTGGAGATGGCAGGAATGTCATCCATCCCTCATCATGTCCCCGGAGAAGCCCAGGGCATCCTGCTCTTCCCCTCGCTCAGTTCAGTTTGTTTTGGGGCTGGCCTCAGAGGGGCAGTCGGACAAGCACTGACTGGACCTCCAGTCCTTTCATTCTCCAAGCCTCGTGTCCTCATCGAGAGATGGCCTTTCTGGTACATGCCCCCCACCCACCCCTCCTTCTCAGAATACTCTGAACACCAAGTGGGTTAATGGTGTCAGTCTAGGGAGGAATGCTAAGTGCGTCAGGCAGGGGTGGGTGCGCCTTGGCATGAAGGGGCTGGGCGTGACTGACCGGCACGGGCCTGCTGCCGGGCCAGCAGGGCTGCCTCTGGACGTGGGGTGTGGGGTAGAGCCTGTGTTTCCTGGTGCTGCCCTGAGCTAGGAGCGAGGCTGGCCAGAGCTCTAGGTCTGCAGAGCTCCCTCCAGCGGTACCCCAGGTACCTAGAAGGGCCGGGGTGGGGGGCAGGGTTGTCAGAGGAAGAAAGCAGCTGAACGGGATGCCAGCCGTGAATGGGCATCCTGCCTCTGGGAGGGAAAATTCTGTGATGGCTGAGTTCAGTGGCAGAACTGGGGCCTGTTTCCAGGAGGCTTCTCTGAAAGAGGCCATGGAAGGTTCTGTGGGGCTCCCATAGCCTCCCCGAGACTCAGAGGAGGGCAGGCATGGGCAGGCGGGAGCCCAGCAGTGCCCTTAGTGTGCCCGGCTCTCCCCAGGCTGGCTCGGGGGCGGGCTCCCTGGCAGTTTGCACGCAATCCACATTGCACCCTGCCAGGCTGTGCTCAGTCTCTGTCTCCTTGCCCCCTACAGAGCCCCGGAGCTATGTGGAGTCAGTGGTTCGGACGGCGGTGGCTGGGCCCCGAGCTCAGGACCCTGAGCCGAAGAGCTTTAGCGCCCCGGCTGCCCAGGCCTATGGCCACGACACGCCCCTGAGGAACGGGACCCTGGGTGGCTCCTTTGTCTCCCCCAGCCCCCTCTCCACCAGCAGCCCCATCCTCAGTGCTGACAGGTAAGTGGGGAGGAGGAGCATGTGGAGGGTGAGATGCAGGCCTGGGACAGCATGAGTGAGGCCTCTCGGAGCTGCTCAGGGTGTGGACAGGAGAAATAACATCCGGATCACTGTCCCTGGAAAACCAGCTCATCAAGGCGCCCAGAGAGAGCGTCCCCTGAGTGCCACATCCTGTGGGGAGCTGTCATCCCCAGGCGGAATTCCATTCCCACATCCAGACTGTGCTGGAAGCAGTGCGGGGTTCAAAGGTGAACCAGGCGTCGTCCCTCCCCCAAAGTTAAAACCTAGCAGCAGTCACGCTAGGTCGTGAGTGCTTCCTATGTGCCAGGTCCTTTGCTAAGTGCTTCCTGTGGCTTTATATTTAACCCTCACAGCAATCCTAGGAGGTAAGTACTATTGTCATTCCCGCCTTCCAGAAGAGGAAACCGAGGCACAGAGTGTCGAAGTAGCTCGCTCACAGTCCTGCGGCTAAACAGTAGCAGAAGTAGGATTCAGGCCAACCTGGGTGACAGTGCCTGGTGCCCAAAGCAGATGCCTAAGTGAAGTTCTCAGAGCCCAGTGCAAGGGGCTGCCTTCTGGCTAGGGGTGCATGGAGGATTTCTGGGGGCTGGAGGGGTTTGTGGTGAGGCCAGAAAGATGGGCATGGTGTTGAAAGGTGAGGCAGGAGGGAGACCGCTTTCTGGTAGGACAGCACAGCCAGGACGGGGTGGGGGGAGGTGCCGAAGGCTCACAGGCTGAGGAGTGTCACTGCAGGGTAGGAGGAGGGCTGTCTTGGAGGATGTGCGGCTGTCATTCTGGGTGGGTCAGACCGAGAGGAAAGCCTGGAATTGGGCAGGGGAGGGCCCTGAAGGGGAAACCCCCATATTTGGGGTGCAGTGAGGAGCTGCTGGGCTGGTGGGTAGGCTAAATGATGGGGAGAGGGAAGATGTCATAGGAGAGGGAGCTTGAGATCAGCCCAGGCAGAGCATAGGGTGCCAGGCGTGGGAGGAAGAACTGGCCCCAGCCAGAAGTCGCCCCTAGGAGAGGAGACTGTGCTGAGCACCCTCCCCGCCGTGGCCCAGCCACCTCTCCACATTCCCACAGGCCCTGGGTGGACTGGAGGTCCTTCACCGGCCCTGTGCAACGCGCTGCCTCCGTCAGGTGGTGGCTGGGTGAGCAGCAGTTTTGTATGAATTCTGAGGATTCTGCAGCCTCAAGCTGAGCGTGCACCCCCAGCCCACCGTGCCCCCGCCCAGTGGAGCAGACAGCTCCATTCCTCGGACGTCTGCCTCTGGACAGAGGGTACAGCCTTCTTTTCAAGGAAGGGGTGTTTCCTCACCTGCCCAACCACCATGGCTGGTGCGCAGAGCCCTGACATTAGGAAGTCTTCACTGTTTCTCACTCACATTCCTCGGGCTAAAGTCTTGGCTCTTTTCAGGGCTCAGGAACTGGCGGTTTTCCTCCGGGATTTATCTTCCGGGACTCCCCCAGCTCAGCCCGACACATGCTCCCTCTTCTCAGAATCCAGGTTATTCCTTCCAGGAAGTGGCCGCACCGCTCTGTCCCTTTCTGTGATGTCAGATGGACTTTGTCCTGGCCTGACCCCTGACTTCACCCTGTCCTTGGCACTTGCTTGGCTCACACCACCCAGGGGCCCCGAGCTTATCCCACACAGCGGAGCTGGCTCCTCCAGAACCCTTCCAGGCTCCAGCTCCAGGCGCCGGCCCACTGTCTTGTGTAAGAAGCTCCCCTCCCCGGGGCTCCTGGTGCAGAGCCTGCTGCCACCACCCCGCAGCTGCTGCTGTGCGAGGTTCCTGCCAGCCTTTGTCTCTCCTGCCATGTCATCGAGGGATAGAAGTTTGTGTCTGGAAAGAATCAGGGTCACTCCACATCCCCCTCCCCCCCCTGCGTTTTTTACACAGGAAAATGTTAACAGCAGAATTCAGGTTTCCCAACTCACAGGCCATGGCGTTGTACTTCCCTGTGGACTTGTATTTAACTTCAGAGGAGAACCTTTGGTTGTGGCTCTTCCCTCGGGTACAGCCCCCTCTGAACTTAATTTTATCAGTCTTAGAATTGGGGTCGACCTCTGTGCTCATCTCATCTAACCTTCCGGTGGAGGATATTCCCTTCACAACATTCAGGTCAAGAGGTTAGTCAGCCTTTGCTTACATGCTGCTAGTGATGGGAGTCTCATTACTATGTGAGGAAGCTTGCACGGTGAGTGGCCAGATCCAATGGCTGGAAAGCAGGCCTTATAATGAGCTGAAATCCCTTCTAGGAGACTTCCTTGTTTTTGCTTTTTGGAACAATCCAGGAATGAAGGCCCAATTCGAACACTCTCAACATTTAAATATAATGATAGCACACCTGCGGAAACTGAATCAAGGTGGGATACTTCCGGTAGGAACAGGATCCAGGTGGTCTGATCCCCTTCTATAGTGTTTAGTTTCTGTGATTCTGGAGTTGACAAGGGGATAGTCACCTTCAGTTTCTTTTTTTTTTTTTATCCTCACCCGAGGACATTTTCCCATTTTTTGCACAGATAGAGTGGGAGGGAGAGAGAGGAAGAGAGAGAGAGAGAAACATCGACGTGAAAGAGGCACATCGAGTGGCTGCCACCCGCACGACCAACCAGGGCCGGGGACAAACTGCAACCGAGGTACATGCCCTTAGCGGGAACCGAACCCGGGTCTCTCCGGACCGCAGGCCGATGCTCTAACCACTGAGCCAAACCGGCCAGGGCTCAGTTTCTTTTTTTAAAATAATACTGATTTTATTGGGGTGAAGTTGATTAATAAATGACATAGGTTTCAGGTGTACAGTTCTATAGTATATCATCTGTATATTGTATTGTGCATTCACCACCCCAGGTCAGGTCTCCTTCCATCACCATTTATCTCCCTTTACCCTCTTCTACCTCCCCGCCCCCTTGGCCTCTGGTAATCATCACACTGCTGTCTGTGTCCATGAGTTTTGTTTTTTTTATTAACCCTTTCACCTTTTTTACCCAGCCCCTCAACCTCCCTCCCCCAACAGCAGTCAGTCTGTTCTCTATCTGTGAATATGTTTCTATTTTGTGTGTTGGTGTATTTTGTTCATTAGATTCAGTCACCTTCCGTTATGATGGAAGAATTCCTCACTTGGACTGTGGTTCAGAAGCCCAAGTAGGATGGTGGGGAAAACATGTGTTTGGGAATCAGACAGCTGAGTTGCAACCCTGGTCTTTTATGAGCCATGTGGTGGTGAACCTATTTCTTAACCTACCTGAGCCTCAGTTTCTTCTTCTGATGGTGCTGTAGGGTGACGTAAAATCCGTGACATTCCTGTGAGTGCAAGTGGCACTCTGTGGTTGTTAGTGGTGGGAGGGGGGCCTGCGTGCTCACTGCAAACCTGTTCTTCATTAAGTGCCATGTGGTGACATCTCAATCTGCCCTTTCTCTCTCCAGCACTTCAGTGGGGAGTTTCCCATCCGGGGAGAGCAGTGACCAGGGCCCCCGGACACCCACCCAGCCTTTGTTGGATTCTGGCTTCCGCTCCGGCAGCCTGGGCCAGCCCAGCCCTTCGGCTCAGAGAAGCTACCAGAGTTCTTCTCCTCTTCCCACTGTGGGCAGCAGCTACAGCAGCCCCGACTACTCGCTTCCGCAGTTCAGCTCCCCAGAAAGCCAGGCCCGGGCTCAGATCAGCCACACGATACCTGGCAGCCCTCAAGCTCGCCACAGGACAGTGGGCACCAACACTCCTCCTAGTCCTGGCTTCGGCCGCCGAGCTGTCAACCCCGGCATGGCTGCCCCCAGCAGCCCCAGTTTGAGCCACCGCCAGGTGATGGGCCCTCCAGGAACTGGCTTCCATGCCAACGCAGGCTCCAGTCCCCAGAGCAGTGCAGCCACCACTCCAGGGAGCCCCAGCCTGGGCCGGCACCCTGGGGCTCACCAGGCCTCAGGCCTCCATGGCAGTGTGGTCACCACTCCAGGGAGCCCCAGCCGGGGCCAGCACCCTGGGGCCCACCAGGCCTCAGGCCTCCATGGCAATGTGGCCACCACTCCAGGGAGCCCCAGTCTGGGCCGGCATCCTGGAGCCCACCAGGGCAGTTTGGCCCCCAATCTCCACGGCAACACAATAGGCAGCCCCGGAAGCCCTAGCCTGGGCCGTCACCTCGGAGGGTCTGGATCCGCGGTTCCTGGCAGTCCCAGCTTGGACCGGCACGTGGCCTATGGCGGCTACTCCACCCCCGAGGACCGGAGACCCACGCTGTCCCGGCAGAGCAGTGCCTCTGGCTACCAGGCCCCTTCCACGCCCTCCTTCCCCGTGTCCCCTGCCTACTACCCTGGCCTGAGCAGCCCCACCACCTCCCCCTCGCCGGATTCGGCAGCCTTCCGGCAAGGGAGCCCGACACCGGCCTTGCCAGAGAAGTGGAGGATGTCCATGGGAGACCGAGCGGGCAGCCTCCCCAACTATGCCACCATCAACGGGAAGGTGTCTTCCTCGCCCGTCGCCAGCGGCATGTCCAGTCCCAGCGGGGGCAGCACCGTCTCCTTCTCGCACACTCTCCCCGACTTCTCCAAGTACTCCATGCCAGGTGGGCCTCCCTTCCCCTCCGCGTCCCCTGCTGACAGATGAAACCCGCCAGCTGGGAGATCTGCCCTGGGCAGACAGCGGTGGGTGGATCGCTGACCTGTGGGCCTCGGTTGCCTTCTCTGTGTCACGGGAGTTGGAGGCATCCTGTGAGTGAATGTGCTATGGCTACGGTGGCTGTGGAGGCAGGGACGAGGCTGTGGGTGCCGACGGTGGTGGTGGCGAAAGCAGCAAGGATGACATTATCGTCACGATGATCACAGCCACTGCCTCTCGGTGAGCACAGGCTGTGTGTCAGGCTCTGAGCTCAGCCGGGTGTCATTCCTCCTCACAGCCACACGTGAGCCAACGAGCGTGGAGGGCTCGGTCATTTGTCCAGGGTCAGACAGTTAATATATGGAGAGCCAGGTGCCAGTCCAGGCCTATCCTATCCAAAACGAGAGCTCCTAAAGCATTATGGGAGTCGTTTTACCGTGTTTCCCTGTCTTGAGGGTTACGGTGATTTAGCAGAGCCTTGACAGTCTGCCTTCCAAACCTGGACCTCCATACCTTTGACCCGCCTTTGTTCCCACCCTTTGACCCCCCCACACTGTGCACACATAACTAACAATCCATCTGGCAGCCAGATGTGATAGGCGACAAGGCCTAGGGTTGGGCATTTCACTGGAGTCCAGTTTCTACCAACCCAGCTTCCCTGAAGCCCTAGCAGGTTGCACACTGAATTCTTCACCCATTCCCAGAACGTGGCCTCTTTGCTTCCTCGTGGAGAGCTCGTTATCCAAACACAAAGGTCAAGGCCTCAGCGGGGCTGCAGACCTGGAACCTGCCTGTGTGCGGAGGGCCCCGGGGCTCTGAGGCATTCGAGGGAGATTGAGAATGTTCTGGGCAGCCTGAAATGTGCCCCAGCTGCCCGCATTCTCTGCGTGTCACTAACTAGGTCCTGCCCTGAGCCTGCCAAGCCAAGACACCTACAGTGACCCTGCACGCCCCTGCTTCCTGCTGCCCACAAGAGACATCTGGTTCTCGGGCCCCCTCCTTGGAGGGCGCAAAGCTTCTAGTAGTTGGGACACTTCCTGTTTCCCAGCATCTTCCCTGCTTAAAATAGTCATTGGAATCAACACAGGAAGGCACATGGGGCTGTGGCCACCTGACAGCTTGTTGGACAGGCCCAGCGGCGGGGCGGGGGGGGGGGGGGGGCAGGGGGTTCGGAGCGGAGAAAGGCAGCCTGCTCCAGCTCCACCGCCAGGCTGCCCAGCTGGCCTTCCTCAGTGAGACTGCCAGGAAGGGAAGCTGATCCAGCTCCTCACTGCCCTCCAGAGACAGACCCAGGGCCTAGCAGAGTCTGAGCGACTGGCTGGAATTGACGAGGCACGGGACATACTTCTCAGCCCCGTCTCTGGCCTGGATGCCCGGAGCTTTACCCCGAAGGCACCCTCTGCTCTGGCCTCTCTCTCAAGAAAGGAGAGGACACGTGTACAATGGGTCCATTTCTTTTCCCTCTTCGCCCCCGTGTGGCTTCCTTTTGTGCCAGGAGACAAGGAAGAGGCTGGAGAGCAAGGAGCACACCCCCTGGCAGGGAGATAGGGTATAGCCGGTACCGAACCGGCCACTGTGTCTTTCCTGGGGAGGGCTACCAGGGCCATTCTGGTAACCGTGGAAGGGTGCTCCCTCGGGGCCTGGGCAGGCCTCTCACCTTCTCTGAACCTCACTTTCGCCTTCCTCATTTGTAAAGTTAAGAGGTTGGACTGGATGCTCTCAGAGATCCTTCTAGAACCCAGTCTTCTGCGAAATCATCCCAGGACTGCAGAGGGTCTGGGGTGGGGAGTGTCTGTCAGAGAAGGGGGGTATGTGTCACACGGGGCCTGGCTTCTAAATTCTGGGTCACCCTCCCCTGTTTGTCCCAGGGCCGGGGCATGACACGGAGCTACGTGGTGCAGAGCGCAGGTTTCCACACGGGTGTGAGGAGGGTTTGGGGACAAGTGGAATGAAGTGGCCTTTCTGCCCTGGTCCTCAGGGTTTTATGATAAGGTTGGGAAATTGGGCCTGTGCAGAAAGAGGTGGGTTGTTTTAGCCCGTGGGAGAGAAGTTTGAAGAGGGTTTAGCCTGAACCTTCTAGAGAAAGGGGGAGCGGAGGGGGAGCAGGGCCCGCTGGCTTAGTGAGGATGCTGGGCCCAGCTCTGCAGCGGGAGCCCCCCTGGGTCGCACGGGGTTGGCAGCAGACGGAAGGATGCCAGAGCTGCCCAGGTCCCTCAGCAATCTCCGATGATGTGTGAGGAGACTGACGTCCCTAGGGCGGCATGACAAACACCACACTTGGTGGGTGAAGACACGGAATTTGTTCTTTCACAGCAGGGGAGGCCAAGGTCAACATCAAGGTGTTGGCGGGGTTGGCACCTTCTGGAGCGTCTGAGGGAGTCTGTCCCAGGCCTTTCTCCCAGCTTCTCGTTGCTGGCCGCGCTGGGCACCCCTGGCTGTGGACGTGTCTCTCCAGGCTGCCTCCATGCCACGTGGTGCCCTCCCTGTGTGTCCCGTCTCATCCCCTCCTCTTCTAAGGACACCAGTCACATCGGGTCGGGCCCATTCTCATCCAGCATGACCTCATCTTAATGTGACTGCATCTGCAAAGACCCTAGTTCTAAACCAGATCACCTCACAGTTAGTGGGGGTAGGACCTCCACATACCTTTTGGGGGAACAGAGTTTAACCCAGAACACTTTTTTTCCTCCCCTTCTAGACAACAGCCCGGAGACCCGGGCTAAAGTGAAATTTGTCCAGGATACTTCCAAGTATTGGTACAAGCCGGAGATCTCCAGAGAGCAGGGTGAGTGCTGGGGGCCCCGGGGTCCCTCCGAGGTCACAGCTGGCTGCTGCCACGGGGCCTTCCCTGGGCAAGGAATTTAAGTGGACTTCTTCCTCTTGGCAGTACGTGGCAGTCGCAGCCGGGGGCTGGGGTCAAGGTCATACAGGAAGAGCAGTTTCCGTGGTGAAGTGTCGGGGAGCAGAGCAGTGACTGTAGATGCTTCCTTGAAGCAATGTCTTGGTTTTCTGGGCAAAGTAAAAGTCCGGCCAGGATCATAGGAAACGTTAGCTCTCCATCTGCATGTGGGAGACTTTTGTACATTTTACAGAAAAATCCAAGTTGCGATCATGCAGGTGGAGACGCGCTCAGGCCCCCAGGGAAAGTCTGTGGGGAGGTGGGACGGGGTGTCCGTGACTACGGCCCCAGGGTCCAGTCCGCCTGCTGCCTGTTTTTGTAAATCAGTGTTATTGAACACAGCCACCTCTATTCCTGTGTCCTGTCTGGGGCTGCTTTTGTGTTGTGGTGGCGGAGTTGAGTAGCTACAGTAGAGATGACAGGGCCTGCAGAGCCTGGAATATGTACTTCTGGGTCTTTATAGAAAAGGTTTGCCAAGTGTTTGAACTCTCGCTTTAAAGACTGTCCTCCCCCCTAAGAAAGAATGCGGTTCACGAGGCCCGGGGAGACGTGAGGACAGCCAGTGCCATCAGTGTCTTAGCTCTTCTCTCTCCATCCCCTCCCGATGCAGCTATCGCACTCCTGAAGGACCAGGAGCCGGGGGCCTTCATCATCCGCGACAGTCACTCCTTCCGAGGAGCCTACGGGCTGGCCATGAAGGTGTCTTCGCCCCCTCCGACCATCATGCAGCAGAACAAGAAAGGTGACACTGTCTCCCTGAGTCTGGCCTCGGGACTGGGTGATCAGGACAGGCCCTCAGACCCGAGGTGCCTGAAGAACGGGGGCTGGGCGGTTTCTGCTTCTCATGGGAGCTGGTCCTTGTGAAATCAGACTCTTCACAGAGCGAGTCGCGGGCTTGGCTGGGTGGGGCCGGAAAACAGGGAGGCCGGATTGTTGGGACTCTGGTTGCGTTTCTTCGAGGGGTAGGGAAGGAGTGGCAGTCTGTCCATTCCAGGGTTCTGGCCACATTGTCGCCACGACCCTTTCTCCCATCGAGGCCCTGTGTGCTGGAGAAGTTAAGAAGCGCTGTTGGGAGACAGTGGGAAGATGACGCGGGAAGTGACCGATCCTCATTTCTTTCCTTTCACCCCAGGGGACATGACCCATGAACTGGTGAGACATTTCCTGATAGAGACTGGCCCCAGAGGAGTCAAGCTCAAGGGGTGCCCCAACGAGCCAAACTTCGGTGAGATTCCCCCCACTTCCGTCTCCACAGTCTGCCTGCAGTCTCAGGCCTGCCCCAGGTCCCCCCGCCTCGGGTTCAGCCAACCCCCTTGTCATAGAACAGCAGAGAGACGAACAGTGGCTTCCGTCCTGTCCTGTGGCCTCTTCACCCCGCATATTCCTTTCTACATCTGTTTACTCCACTGAGACTTGTTATCACTGTAATTGGAATAACAGCTTCCTTGATTGACCACCTACTATGTGAAAGCCACTTCCTAGGTCCCCTGCCACTTCTGGTGTCATGACCATCCTGCATGGTAGGTGCCATTGTCCCGGTTTACGTACGAGGAAGTGGAGGTCGCCGAAGCTAGGCTGACCCCAGTCACTGAGTGACCGCTGGGGCTTGATCCCACGCTCTCTGAGTTTTGTGCTGCACTGTCCTGAGAGGGGCCCAGCCGCTGGAGACGTGGGGAGGGACTTTCTATAAAGGGAAGCTGTTGGGTAACCTGTGACTGTTAGCGTAGCCTTTGGGATCTTCTCCCTTGGGTCTTGCTAACAAACAGGGAGTGGGTTTTGGTGGAATGAGAGAGTAATAAAGAAGCTGAAGACTGTAGCTCGAGGGGTGGGGTGGGTGGGCTCCTCAGTGCCCGGCCACTTCCCAGCAGAGCTGCCCCTGACGTGCGTCTCCCTCCTGCAGGATCGCTCTCAGCCCTGGTCTACCAGCACTCCATCACCCCGCTGGCTCTGCCCTGTAAGCTGGTCATTCCAAACCGAGGTAGGAACCTGACTCCTGCGTCCCCCAGCACACCCTCGAGTTGGCTTCTTTCGTGTCTCGGCCCTGCCAGCGCTCCGGCACTTGGGCCAGGGTTGGAGGACATGGGTCATTTTTCCAATCTGGGGAAACTTGAAACTACCCTCTTTTTTCCCTATTTAGAAAAAAAAAAAGAAGGAAAAGTTTATTAAAAAGCTTAACTCCAGGAACGTGCATAATTGACTTGCCAGATTGTTCTGGAAAATTCTCTGGAGGCTTAAAGAAACTCAGATGGAATTCTCAGCCTACGCCTCGTCCCGCAGGAGGCGCTAGAAGTAGGAGCCAGTCGTGGGGAAGACCTTGTCCAGAGGATGAGATGGGCATCGGTGGGCAGGCGGGCAGGGAGGGGAAGGCAGATTTAGGTCCTGGGGCGTCCAGGGTGGGAGGATGGTCTGAATGGAGAGGAGAGCGCACTGGAGGGCAGGAGGCTGGGCTCGGCGTGGCGTGGGAAGGGAACGGGACGGTCAGATGTCCCTGGAGTTTCTAGGGTGTGTGTCTGACAGAATGTTCCCTGACTGAAGGGACACTGGCTCGATAGGAAAGGGCAAGCCCTCTTTGGATTCTGGGGAGTTTGACTGGAATCCCAGAGCCTTAGGACATAGAGGATAAGAATCTGACCCGGGGCCGGCGAAGATTTCAGCTTCTCAGAGAGGCTTCTAGCCTTGGGGGATGGCAACACCCCTCACAGCATAGCGCCTGTTACAGCACAGGCGTCTAGTCCCCAGCCCCCAAGTGCATAGCGTCCACTCAAGGAGAATGTGCTTGGCCCCGAACTTCAGGTCCAGAAACTGGGAGCTGAGGTGCCTTCTCTCCCCCCCTCTGTTTAATGACAGGATATTCAGAAGTGCCCCTGGGCTTCCTCCTCTCTCGGAGCTCCTGAGGCTTTTGCCCACACGGAAAGCCCTCCAATATTATTTGATGTTCTCCATGTATCCAATTCAATTCATTGAATTATTAATGCTAATTGACCACCATTATTAGCTTAAAAGTTCAAACACAACTTAAATAGCATTATTAACCATACAATGTAGACACTAATTAAATTATATAACTACAGAATTTACCAAAGTAATTCAGCAATGATAAAACTGATATTAACATCGAACAAACCAGTAGTTCTCCAAGTACGATCCCCAGGACAGCAGCATCAGCACCTCTGGGGTGGGGCCCAGCAATCTGTGTTTTCACAAGCCTGCACACCAAAGTCTGAAAAACTCTGGTGTACACGGTACTCGATTCTTTTTAATATAGAAATGATCATTGTGCTGCATTGAGTGAGAGTACGTACTGCATTACACAGACATCAATACAAAAGAACACCACCCGCTGCCAAGCTTTATGCTTTATGCCAAGCACTGGGCTGACACTGTATATGGAACATCTCAAAAATCCAATAAAATGCTCCTGTCACCATCACTTCTCTTTCATAGACGCTTAGCACGTGCTGGGCCGAGCGTCTGAGCCCAGCTCTGTTGGACTCTAGAGCAGTTGTTGCACATTCCACCTGGACACGCACGACCGGCTGCCAGGGCCCGGTAGAAACGCAGTATCCATTGCACAAAGCATTTGCAGAGCTCGCCTTCGGCCCAGCCAGACGTGGGCTTCTTTCCAGTTCTAGAGTTTTAATTACTTGCTGAATTAAATTTTTGTCTCAGACCCCACAGATGACTCGAAAGAGAGCTCGGGCCCTGCCAACTCAGCCGCCGACCTGCTGAAGCAAGGGGCAGGTGAGTGGCCTCCCAGACCCGATCGCTGCCCAGGCTTTTCCTCCTTTCTGCCCTGTGCCCCCTGCAGGTGCAGGCACGCCGCTCCCGGCCCAGTGTCTCTGGGTGGGCACGGCACCCCTCTGGGTGCAGGTGTGTGGGCCTGAAGTTGGCCTGACACTTTTCTGCTACCTTCTCCCTGAAGAGAGGCCTTGGGGATTGTCCCCACTCACTCCAGCCCTCATGACTTCTCCTTGGGTGGGTTTCTTCCAGCCTGCAACGTGCTCTTTGTCAACTCGGTGGACATGGAGTCACTCACTGGGCCACAGGCCATCTCCAAAGCCACCTCTGAGACACTGGCTGCTGATCCCACGCCAGCTGCCACCATCGTTCACTTCAAAGTTTCTGCCCAGGGAATTACACTGACGGACAACCAGAGAAAGTAAGACTCTCTGCCTGCCTCTGTGGGTTCTCCTGTGACCCTCCACCCTTCCACTGACCCACCCACTTACCAACTGATTGATCCCTGTACCCATCCATCTCCCGTCCATCCTCCACCTACCTGGCCGCTCACCTACCCATCCATCCATCCTCTTGCTCATCCACTCCCCAGGTGACGCATCCCTCTCTGCTCGATTCATCCCCGATCTATACTCCCTCTGTTTATTCCTTCACCCATTCGTGTCTCCATCTATCTACCCATCCATCTACCCATATTCCCATCTTTCTACAAATATGCCTGCATTGGGTATACAGCTGCAGATGCAGCTGACAGAAAGTACCCGCTTTCTAGGGCAAAGCCCTTCCTCCCATGCTCTCTCTAACACGTTCCCAACCCCTTTCTTTTCCCCTCCATGGTCCCCCGTTTCTCACTCCTCGATGCCAGTGTCTCCTTCTTTCCCTAACCGGTAGCTTCTGAGAGGTGTTTCTGTGATACATCTGTGTCCTCGCGCATTGCTTACGCCTCCAGTGTGAGCAGCCACAGGTGGTGGGCAGGCGGCCGGACCTGCCGCTCCGTACTCATTCTGTTTGTTTGTGTCTGTGCCCCAGGCTCTTCTTCAGACGACACTACCCTCTCAATACCGTCACCTTCTGTGACCTGGATCCACAGGAGAGAAAGTGAGTCTCCTGCCGACACCTTCCCTCCCAGCCAGCTCTAGAACACGGAAGTCCGTGTGGGTGCATGTGTGCACACGTGTGTATTGCATGTGTTTGTACGTGTGCGTGTGTGTAGTTTTGGTTCCGCTGGAAGATCTGCCTGTGCCTGTGGGAGGGGGAGTAATTGTGCTGGGCATCTTTTTGAGTGTTTCCCATGACAAATTTGGAGACCCTCCCAGGGACTCAAATGCTTTCATCTGCTCAGTCGTGTCCCTGACCCTGCGTCTGCTTCTCTCCACACTGGAGAAGCTCCTGGGGAGGCAGCCACCGTTCTCTTTATCGGAATGCCCCCCAACCTGGAACGGGCTCCTCTGGGGAGAAGGTGTAGTGGTTCACCTGTGCCATTCTTCTCTCCACAGGTGGACAAAGACGGAGGGCGGTGTCCCTGCTAAGTAAGTGTGGCTTGTCCCCCACCCCAGCTGGCTGGTCTCTGTGCTTTTTGGGGTGGGGGAGCAGGGGCAGGCTGGGAGTCTAGGGCTTGGGGGAGGCAAAGGGCAGCAAGGGCCAAGCAGCTCGGAGAAGACCGTGGCCAGGCAGCCAGGTCGTTTGCCTTCTGCCTGCAGTCTGTCAGCCTCCCTGGCCAGGACCAGTCCAGCAGGGATCTGAGGAACTGGACAGGAAACCAAGTTTCCGTGAGGCGGTCGTGGTGGGACAAGGGTTGCTTACATGATATTTTCTGCCCGAATCCTGGCCTCCTTGGTTTACGTTCTTGCTCTTTGGGTGGACTTCTGTCAGGACCGTGGCTGAGCTAGACTTCAGCAGAACGCGGGAGCCCAGAAGGTCTAAATTCTGGGATGGGCCTGGGACGCTTTGGTCGATGCTTCTGTCCATTCAGCATTTTCTAAGTGCCTCTGAGGGGCTTAGCCCTGGAAGGATTCAGACTGAGCAGTGGCTGACTCTGACCCCCGGAGGCCTGACACTGGCCCAGTGGATAGGACTCATGTTTAAACAGCACTAACATGCTGTAGTGGTTTTCAAACTGTGTTCCAACGAACCCTAGGATCCTCAGGTTGCAACTGAGCTCTTAAGAAGGGAGGAATACCCTGTTACAAGTTGCATTATGTATCAGTATGAATCGGAGTTTTCTCCATATCACAAAACCAAAACAAACTGTGGGAATAGCCTGGCTACTGAAGCTGGCGCAGCCTGCCCTTCTGAGCTGCAATTCCACACCTGACTTTCTCGGGCTCGTGCAAACAGTCCCGTTTCTCGCTGACTGAGTTGATAAGGGTCAATGTTATGCTGTTGAAGATACATTTACAGCCGTAAATACTGCTGTCACCTTTATACATTTGGACTTTATATAAGATTGTTTTAGAACAAGAAAAGTGTCACTGTTAGAAAGAATTTAAACTGCTGTTGTATGAGACATGCCAACAGGGTATGTCTGTGAGTGTCATGAAGGAGAGTTCATGGGACAGAGTCTAGGCAGGGACAGATTCAGGAAGGTTTGGGGAAAGAGCTTATATTTCAGATTGGGTCTTTATGGAACCAGAAGCACGAACACATGGAACAGACTGGCTGGTGCCCAAGAGGAGGGCGGTGAGGGTTAGGGATAAAGAAGGTGAAGGAAAGGGTTAAAGAATATGTATGCATACCCCGTGGGCACAGACAACACTTTGGTAAAGACCAAGGTGGGGAAGGGTAGACGTGAGCAGAGTTGGAGGGAGAGAGGGATCCCTGCAATAATGTCAACATTAAAACACTTTTAAATTTAAAAAGGGGTCTTAAAAGACAGGCGCAATTTGAATAGGCAGAGATGGGTGTGGGGTGGGAGAGAGGATTTCAAGGGGACAGGGAGGCATGGCCCCCAGGGTACAAGCTTCCTGAGGGCAGGATTGGTATTTGTATGGGACGAGCTGAAACATATTTGTCTGATGAAGAAATGAGAGGATGAGGCGGCAGGAGGGGAGTGAGGAGTCGCAGTGAGGCCCCCTTGGTCAAGAACGAATGGAACTGACCAGCAGTTAGCATGATGAGCAGCGGGGTGTCCAGAGGGCCTGTGTGGGATAGAAGGACCTGAGTTGCCCCAGGTCACAGGAAGAGTTAGCAGCCCCGCTGAAAGGGGACCAGATGTCCAGCCATTTCAAAGCTTGTCTCACCCTTCTGGGCTCAGGGGTCTCTGGGTCCCTGGCACCAAGCAGAAGGCCAGAGCTTTGTATTTGAGGAAGATCCTGCTCACTGACCACTGGGCCTTGTGAGGGGAGAGGGTCAGGGACAGAATGAGCTGGTCCCAGGTCTGAAAATCACTCTCCGAATCCAGAAATGGGTTTTGTGCTGGCTTCCAGCTGACCAGGCCTTGCTGGGCGGGGCCCAGGCCCAGGGCGCTGGCTGGGGCCGGACTGGGTTGAGGCACAGATGCCTGAGGCCCTGAATTAAGGACGTACCAGCTCTCAGGCCCTGGAATGTGCTCCTCCCTGCCCTTGGGGCTGAGGTTTCTTGCCTGGATTCACTTCCCTAACAGAGAAAGGAATTGGTTCTGCTGAACTGGCCCTGGAAGGCCTGGAGCTGAAATGCACCAGGGGAGGGAGGCAGCTGGTGTTCAGGCTATGCAGTTGGCAGACGCTCGCTCTGGCGGAACGTCCACTCCTTCCCTGTGCCTGAGCACCCCCACCGCACCAGGGAGCCCTGCACGCCTGGAAAGGGGAATCGGGGATTGGTCACGGACCCAGGCTTTTCCACTGCTTAGACCGTGACCACAGACCTCTGGCTCCACTGTTCCCAGCCCCTGAAGCAGCCGTCGGGAGCCCAGTGCGTGTACACGCACACGGTGCACGGTTGCAAGTCGGACCCGACTTTTCTACTTTTAGCTGCTGTGGCCCAGTCCTAGGGAGAGGGGTTTCCATCGGAATCTCCAGCTGTCCCGATTCCCCCCTCTCACCCGAATTAGCAACAAGCTGGCTGGGAGGGGACCTGAGCTCACATTCTGTTCTGAGCTCTCATATTTTTAACTGTTTTGCACCGAGAATGCCAGCTCACTCCAGTCTTGGTGCAGGGAGTGGGGGTTGGGGGAACAGGTGTGGGGTCTCTCTCCCCCTCCCATTCCCTGGGGCCCAAGAGAAATGTGTGTGCGTGGTGGGGGGAAGGTAGTGACCCCTTGTCCTTTTGTCTCCCTGACCTCCACCCGCCTGGTGTCTGAGGAGGTCCAGCCCTTTGACAGGCAGACAGCATGTTCTTCATCTGCTACATGTCGTGTGTAAGAACAGTTGGGTAGGGGTGGGGCTGAGATGGACTCACAGAAGCTCAGCTAGGAATGTCCCCGTTTTATTTTTGGTCACATTTCCACCTCTCACTGTCCAGTCTCGTCCTTTGCCTGCAGCTCCTCCTCCCCACTCCTCCTCACCCGCCAAAGGGGGGTTTCTGCCCTGAACAAGTGACACTTGTCATCTCCAGTGTCGGGACTTCCTTGTCAGTGAGAGAGAATTCTCTCGTTTGGTTCCCCCCTCCCCCAATCCCTGTGCTTGGAGATGGGGAGAGAGGTTGGCCTGGAGGTAAGCTTGCTCACCCGGGCGGCTCTCTAAGGCCTGGGACCCCTTCAGCCCTCCTCTCACACCTGTCACCCCTCTCCTGGCCCTGCAGGCTCTTCGGCTTTGTGGCCCGGAAACAGGGCAGCACCACGGACAACGCCTGCCACCTCTTTGCTGAGCTCGATCCCAAGCAGCCTGCCTCCGCCATCGTCAACTTCGTCTCCAAGGTCATGCTGAGTGCCGGCCAGAAGAGATGAACTCTCCCCAGGCCCCGGGCCAGGGCAGTGGGGGTGGGGCCTGTGGGGGGGGGGACCGTGAATCCTGACCACCTTTGAATCCAGAAGGAGGACTTTGGGCCAATTTGGAGAAGGAGAGAAGAAAGTGCGACATGAGGAGAGCAAAGTGAATTGCAGAGGGGAGGGGGGAAGAGGGAGAGAAGGAAAGAAAAGGATGGAGAGGAGAACTTGGATTCCCTTGGGTAGATGGATACTGCGCAACCCCCAAAGCCTCCCAACTAACCAGGTCCACCTGACTCCCTCCCACACTCCCAGAGGATGGAGCTCCTCCAAGGAGGCAGAACTGACCTCCTTGGGGATCCATATTTTGGGGGGAAATGGAAAAGTATCTCCTTAGCCCAACTGCTTTGCAAGGAGAAATCAAGTTGAGAGAATAATTTTCTGGCCACTTCTAAGGTACATTGTCAAACCGAAAAGCGCCAGCATCGGCCATCAAGGGGCAGAACGTTTGCTGTAGAAAGTATCTCAGACCGAGGCACCCAAGGTCTCTGCTCTGCCTTTGATGTGTGGTTTGCGTGGGCGTGTGTGTGGGTTGTGTATCTGTCTGCACCCACATCCTCACTCTCTGGTTTCTGTTGCCTCCCAGCTAGATTATAAACAGGTGTACTTGTCCATGCTCCAGGTGTTTGCACATGTGTGCATACTATCCAAAGAAGGTTAGAGTTGGGGTGATGCCGCACTGGGGAGGGGACGTCAGGCTTCTTCCCCAGGAGCACCGGGAATATGGCTCACAGACTCTGTCTTGGCCCTGCGTCTGCACTCTGGCGGCCCCGAGTGCCACCAGCCCCTTCTGCTTGACAGAGCCCAGCAGGAGTAGGGCCGCCAGCTCCCAGCATTGCCCTCGTTTTGCCTTGACCAGGAGGTGGGACCATTGGTTTGAGTATCGGAGACAAGTATTCCCATAGCCTCGGGGATGAGATCCATCAGCGCACCGGCGTTGCCCTCCGGGCATCTTCCCTGAGCTGTCTGGTCGAGGTGGGCAGGTGGCTCCCAGTTGCTCCCGCCAGCTCCCAGCCCGCAGCCCATTCTTGGGTTCACACCCACAACAGCCTTATCTCAGACTTATCTGCATGATGTCCTTGTGGGTGCTTGGGTTTGCGCCTTCCCGATCTGCCCCTCCCCGCGGGGTCCTGCGGGGTCCTGCAGGGTCCCGTGTTGGGCTCATCCTGGGGAACCTGCTTCCAAGAGCTCAGCAAGGCCCAGGAGAGACACCTGCTGTCCTTGTCCTCCCCTCTGCCAGTGTTTGGGTCCGTTTGCTGGGCTGTCCAGGGAGACTTGGCAGAGGCCTGGGGCCGCCACCTGTGTACCAGTGGCCTCCAAACAACACCAAAGCCTTGCTGTCCCCGCTGCCTTGGTCTCCCCAGCAGAGACAGTGCCTGTGAGCAGAGACAGAAGGGGTCATTGGGGCCAAGCCTGCAGTCCCTCCGGGCAGCTGGGAGCCCCCACCTCCACCCGAGGACTCGGAGCTGGAATGGAAAACTCACCAGGACTCCATTCTTGAGGGGCTTCTTAAGCCTCCGGGGGTCCCTTAGAGAGGCATTGTACTGATATATAAATATATATAATATATATGTGAGACATACTGACAGAATCTGTAAGCTAATAAAATATAAGAAAAGGTTAAAAAAAAGAATAGGTAAATTGACAAGAAGTATTTATTGTTTCCCCATATTGCTTTATTGCCTCCCTGGGCATAAACCAGTTCCCATCCCTCTTCCTAGTATAAGGGAAGCCTGAAATGTAGGGGCCTTTATCCTTGGAGCAATCAGGGTTCTCCTTGCCCTGGCCTTGGCCTTCCCTAGACTTTGTCTGGGGCTCAGCAGGGAGGGGTGCATGTGTTCCATCTCCTTTGGCCCCCTACTTTCTGGCAGCCCAGGCCTCGGCCGTCAGGGCCCGAGATGAGCCCACTCACCACGAGCGAGCGTGTGCGCCAGGGGACAGGGTGAGTGTGGCGGGCGTGGTCGTGTGTGCGTCCTTTGTACGTTTTCTCCTCCAAGAGGCTGTGTCTGTGTGGACATGCCGTTTCAGGGAGCTGGAAAGGAGGGTGTCTGAAGCAGGCGGGGAGCAGGGCTCGCTTCCCCGACTGAGACCGTGTGTGGTGACGAAGGTTCTTCCAAAGTGCTCTTCCTTCTGAGGCTTTCGAGCCAGATACTGGGGTTTCCCTCTCCTGTTCCCTACGTACCCCAACTCTCTTCCCGGATAGGAGATATTTCACCCCCGTCCTTTGTAAATATCTTAACCTCCCACTGGACAGCCGGGGACCCTGTCCTCTCTACGCCGAGGCGGTGGAGGTTGGACCATCGGGCAGACCAGGCCCAGGGTCAGCCTTCTCACGTGCTTGCCCACTGCCCACCGCAGCCCACCTCCCAGGCATGGCCAGCCCCACTCAGGCCTGAGCTGTGACCCCGCAAGCAGGACCTAGGGGGTGCCAGGAAGCCGATCAACTCACTCTCTGGTGTCACTGGAGGGAGTGGGTTTTCTAGTTTGACCTTTGCAGGATGACGGGGAAGGGCACCTCAGGCTGCACCGGGCCCCTCGGGGTCAGACACGGGTTAGGAAGGCACTGTCGTCCTCCCGCCCCACAGGTCAGGTCCGTGCACCCGCGCACGCGTGCACACACACACACACACACACACACCACAGCACTGCAGTGTATTCTTGCCAAAGATGTCCTTTCAAAGAAAGCACTTTTAATAATGATTGTTATTATCGTGTAAATGTTTATCCTTTTCTCTCCTCTCCCTTCCTCAACATAGTTGCTGTCGTTTCTTGTTGAATCCGTTTGCCAGGAGAGTGCCGTCTGGTCTTGAACATAAGCTGGGAGTCGGGGTGGGAAATGGTCTGGGAGAGGCCTGGTCAGCTTGGGACTCAGTGACACAGCCCCAGGCCCAGTCCAGCCTCCGAGGCAGGCCTTCCAGGACCACAGGGAGACAGGCCCTGCCGGCTGTGGCTCTTCCCAGGTGGGACGAGAGGGGAGATGGCGTGGGAACCATGGAGAGGTGACCCTGGAGGGGAAGTGGAGGAAGTGAGCTGTGTGATCAGTCTCCAAGGGCGACTGGAATCCCTTGCCCTGAGATCATGCTCTGGCGTCCTCATCTAGCCAGGTGTTTGAGGGGCAGACACGTCATGTCCTCGGTTTGGGACAGACCTCTGGACCCCAGTCCTCATGGAAGCCTCTCCTGCAGCTGCTCTGAAGCTCGCGGTGCGCCAGGCTTCCGCTCCTCTGAGGAGCCCCACGTGTCAGAGCCGGCAGGGGCGACGGGCTTGCTGGCTACGTAACCGTAGAGGGGCAGCTGGCTGGACAGTTGTGACCCTTCCGTGACGGGGCTCCCAGGAGGGAGGCAAATAGGACGTTCTTCTGTCCCCTGATGGGCATGAGCAGAGACTGGGCAGACTCCTCGTGCCGTCCAGGGGTGTGGAGGAGTCTGGAGGTGGAACAACAGCTACGCCACCACCCTGCCTCCTGGGTCTTCTCCCTTCTTTGTTTTTCCCAGCTCAGGACCTGGGGAGATCAAGTGGGCCGGTGCTGTCCAGAGGCGACCTCCTGCCCCTCCATTTCCCCACACTCGGGGTCCTTGGAGAGGTCTGAGGTCACTCTGCTCCCAGGTCCAGGCCTGAGGCGGGGGTCCCCTGGCCAGTGGTAATACAGGACGTGTGTGCGTGTGTGTGCAAGTGTGGGTGTATGTGTGTGCATATTTGCCCATCTCTCTAAGAACTTAGGGGTTGGGTCGGAGGAGGTGGGCAATAGGAGGATGCGGAGTTCAATATCATCGGCGGGGAGGAATCGGGAGGCGAGGCCTGCAGGGCCCCGACGGGTGGAATTTCAGTGTTGGTGGTGGGGTGGGGCTCTGCTGTCCGAAATGTTGGAGGACCTCTGTTTATTTCCCACGTTGGGCTCTTCCTAGCAGCGAGGTAATTGTAGAGGGATGTCCCAAGTTTGTTTTCTAATCAGTGTTAAACAGTTTGAGACTCTCCTGTGTCCGTGTTTGGTCTGTGTGTGTGTGAGGAGCACATCAGTGTCTGCATGCTGTGTGTCCCCATCTCTCTCCTCCTTCCGACATGTCATTCAAAACAAACGTAAGAAGTTCCTCACCGCCCACCCCACCCCTGTCTCCCAGGCCCTCTGCAGGAAAAACAGAGTAACCCAGCATCCTCCCAGCCCCCGACTGTGTATTTATATAGATGGAAATATACTTTCTATTTTGTATCATCGTGCCTATAACCTCTGCTGCCTTGTATAAACCCCGATGTACGCGACGTCTCCTGGATATGAATGTACTGTACACTGACGCTGTCCCGCCCCTTCCTGTACAGCTGCTTTGTTTCCTTGCGTTCCATTGTATGGCTTCACAAATGATAAAGTGAAAGAAAACGCGTGCTGTTGTCTAGCTGTGTTGTTTGGAAAGGAGTCCACCAGGTCTCTCGTTGGCAAACATCGGCCTCAACCAAGCTCGGCTCTGTGGTGTCAGGGACGCCTCGCTGGGCCACTCGCCCTGGGTCCTCCGGGCAGCTTCCCCCCACCCAGGTCTTGGTTCTGATGACCGTGAGTGTTTCATCGGACTCTTTCTGTTACAAGAGAAACTCAACTCAACTTGGCTTAAGAAAATAAAAAAGACATGTATTGGCCCGCGTGACTGAGAGGTCCACGCACAGCTGGACCCGGGCTCCAAGGGTAGAATAAGAATCGGTCTCCATTGCTTGGCTCTGAGTTGGCTTGGTTCACGGGCAGGTCCCATCCAGGTGGTCCTGCGTGAATTCTTTGCAATTCAGAAAGTTTGGGGTGGTAACGACTGAGGCATGTCTAGCACAGTGCAGGGGGCCTGGGAGATTGAATATAGTCACAAGACAGCGTTAGTCCCCCCTCCCCATCGGGCTGATAGCACAGCTGGGAGGGGGCTGGGGGCTGAGACCCCCGTGCTGTTAGCACAGGGAGAGCCGTGGGCAGCCTCTCGAACTGTTTGCTCGCAGGACCCGTCTACACTACGAGTATTGAGGACCCCATAAAACTGTGTTCACATGTGCTCTATCTTTCCATGTTTACCGTGTTATAAATGAAAACAGAACGTTTAAAAAGTAGTTGCCAGTTCACTTCCACAGCGATATGAAACTCACTATGTGTTAACATCTAGAAATGTGACGGAAACTGATAGTTTCTAAAACAGAAGAGACCGGGTGAGGAGAGTTGCCCGCTTTGCGTCCTCTCAAAGCCGCTCATGCCCGGCACACAGACCTCCAGAAACCACTAGACGCGCGGGAAGACGAGAGTGAAAAAGACAGATAGGAACTTAGTGTTATTAAGAAAATAGTTCCGCCCTGGCTGGTGTGGCTCAGGTGGTTGAGTGTCCTCCTGTGCACCGAAAGGTCACTGGTTTGATTCCTGGTCAGGGCACATGCCAGGTTGCAGGTTCCATCCCCAGTCGGGTGCATGTGGGAGGCAACCGATGGATGTTTCTCTCTCTCCCTCTCTTTCTAAAATCAATAAAAAATGTTTTGACTTCACACCATCCCTGAAAGGGCCTCTGGGGCCGCCGGGTCCCCAGACTGTCCTCTGAGAACTGTGGTAAGGGATGCAAAGTGAAGGCGCAGCCGCTGCCTGCGTGGGGACCGCGCGTTCCAGACCCACCGTGCACTGGGCATAGCTGTGCCTCCCCTTCCCAGTGAACCCGTGAGGTAGGTGGCATCAGACCCAAGTGACAACTAAGGAAACAGGCTGTGAGCGGTCACATCGCTTCTAACGGGCAGAGCTGGTCCTTGTCACTGCTGGTGATAGCTGGCACTGGCAGCCCTGCTAAGGGCCGAGCCTTTGCTGAGCATACATGTGCGTTTTCTCATGCACACAAACCCAGTGCTGTAGGGCTGTCCTTGTCCTCACTTAGCAGGAAGAAACTGAGTCCACAGAGGCTCGGGGGTTGCTCAGAATCACAAGCTGGCAAGTCAGCGGAAGAGCCAGGCTTCGAACCCAGGCGAGCTCTCGGGGTTCATTTCCGGAGGGAAGTGACTCTGATGCACCAGGGGCAGACGGAACTGATGGCATTGCTTAGACAGGGTCCTCAGGCAGCTGGACAGCTGGCTGACCTCCTGGGAGTGGACAGGCTGCTGGTGTGTGGTGGGGAGGCCACGCTCCGACGCCACCCAGCTGTGGAGTGAAGTGGATACCTTGGCTGGGGCGGTGCAGGGGTGAGAGACACAGATGAGATAGGCTACGGCCGTTCCATTTGTTCATGTGTTGGCACCACCGGGAGCTTATTAGAAAAGCCAAACCTCTGCCCACCACCCACCCCAGACCTGCAGATCAGGTGAGCACTGTAGGGGGTTAGAGCCAGAGGAGCTGCTGGTAAGGAAAGGGTTGCTCTCAGAGCAGTGAGCGCCCCGTCCCTGCAGGCACTGGGGACAAGGCCTGAGAAGGCCCTTCCTCGCCTCCAGCCTGGGTGTGGCCTCAGACACAGCCTAGGTGAGCCCGTCCCCCCGGAGCCCAGAGTGCAGATGTGGCTGGGCCCTGCCACCTGCGGAACACGAGTCTCCTCAGCGCGACCTGCCGTGGAGCCTGCTGGCCTCGGGGCCAGGCGCAGCTGCCTCTGGTCCTGACGTTGCTGGGACCTCAGGGAAGCTTTCCCTCTCGGGCCGTCTCCTCACCTGTGAAAGGGGTGATGCCTACTCCGGAGGGCTGGCGTGAGGACGGAGGACAGCAGCACCCGGCATGGCCCTGGGTCCACCGCTGGGCTCGGGCCCTCAGGGAATACGCGTTTCCTTTCCTTTTCTCGTGCCTCCTGCCTCCTCCACACCATTTCCTCGGGCCTCTGGGGAGACTTGGCAGCAGAGAGGACTTGGAGCTCACTGCCTCCCAAACGATATTGATCTCGCTGGCTCCTGAGTCCAGACCACAGCGCTCGGAGATGGTGGTACAGCCGCCTCCGCGGCTCCAGCTTTTATGGGGTTTAGAGATCATCGCTGGCCATCGGGACAGGATGTCCGGGGTCCAGCCCCTCCTCCCAGCCTCTGCTCCCTTCCCTAACGCCCCGGTCAGTCTTGGGAAACCTCATTCCTGGGTCGGGTCCTGGGAAACTAGGGGGTGTGTGTGAGGTCACCAGTCCCCTCCCCTCCCCCAGTCCCATGCCCTTCACGAGTAGGTTCTGACCCGGCAGCACCATGGCCCTTACTTCAGGGAACTCGGTGCCACGTGGGGCAGAGGCCCTTGAGGAAGGCAGGAGACCACCAGAGAGACGGAGAAAACCTCACAGCCAGAGCCTCAGAGCTGGTGGAGCCCT